GTTGTATGGATGTGATTTTGTGGTGTGTGAGTAACAATGTGAACACAACACGTTTTAACTTAATGATTTTTGTTTTATATTTGTATCTTGTTAAATTAAATTTTGTCTCGCATATCTCAGTATGGGGAAACTCGATGTCGCCATATTGCGGTATTTAACCGCTGAAGACTTTCGTGTATTAACCGCAGTAAGTACTTTTTACTTTCAACCAGTCTTTCATAACCTGAAAATGGCAATAACGTGTAATTGTTGTCGATTTTCAGGTTGAAATGGGTATGAAAAACCATGAATTGGTACCTGGTTCATTGGTAGCATCCATTGCGAATTTGCGACATGGTGGAGTACACAAATTGATGAAGGAATTGTGTAAACATAGGCTGTTGACGTACGAGCGAGGGAAGCACTGTAAGTGGAAATATTTATTCTAATTACGAAGCATTGTCGACAAAATCAGATCTACCTTAACACCTGAAACTGAATTAAGTTTAAGTAGCTTGTAGGTATCCATGGCGACAGCTTGTGAGACAACAGTTCACAAAGGCAGTCAAAACCCACATTGGTATGTATATGTTGGAGCAGTGTTGGTCATGTTCGATTGGACTAAAATGATTCGAACAGCTCCTGTCCCCGAAGACCCGGGTTACAGGTGTCTAAAAGATTCAATTATATTTGTTTGACCCAGTATGTGTCATGCCCACAAAATTGGACTTTATAATTTTAGGTTTTTCAACAATTCACATAATACTCATAAATCCCCATAACCCAGCTCGCCATCTCTCTGTTTAAACAGTTTGTTTGGGTTGAATGTTTACTTGATGGAGTATTTGTGATTGTAAACAACAAGTGACCTGCTAAAGCATTGAACATTCATTGATTGATCAACACAGGTCTAGTCTATGTCTTAGCAGAGTTATAGACCTACCTGAACAAGCAGATTTTATCACTATGTTTTCTTTCACTGGTAAAACAAGTCATGTTTGGCAGTCATGACCAAAATCCGCAGTATAACTCTTAACCTTGTGCATGGGAAGTAAGCATTCACCCAATATTGCCCTCTAATGGGCATTAGAAACTCTACTCTCTCCATGTGCCCAAATCACCTCAACATTCCTTCTTCTATTTTTGTCACCACATCTTCATTCAAACACATTGTTCCAAGTTCACAGTATTCTTTACTCTGTTACATAACTGCACATTAAATGTTTTTCTGATGAATCACATTTCTACTGCATTCACTCTACTAATAATAATTAAAATAAGAATAAGTTCTCCTACAAATAGTAATAAGCATTCTGTCATCTATCTACTACTAACTACTTCTGTAAAATTTTGTCAACCCTTAAAGGTGAATTAATTAAAAACTATTTTTTATCAGATGATGGCTACCGTCTTACAAATGCAGGATATGACTATTTGGCACTTAAAGCCCTTACAAACCGGAAAGTGATAGCTTCATTTGGCAACCAGATTGGAGTTGGCAAAGAGTCCAACATTTACACTGTGGCTGATGAAGATAGGAATCCCTTATGCTTGAAACTTCACAGGTAATAGTGCAAAGTTGGGCAAAATATTGTAATTTTAATATGAGTAAAGTTTAAGGTTCCAATATTTTTGGCCATATATAATAGTCATATGCCTATTGATTATTGAATGATATTATGAGTTAAACATATTCTGTATAATGTATAAACATAGATATGTATAACATTATGTATATCACTATACTATAAATTCGGAATTCACAGAAGTTATAAAAATGTTGAACACAAGAATCAAGGATATTGCATCAATGTTACACAAAACTGGTTGATGACTAACAGTATCTCAGTCAACTGGGACAATAGGATCTGAGAAAAGCCTGTAATATTGTTGTTTCTTTTACAATGTAGTAATCGCAAAAAGCGGAGAACTCATAAATATTGATTATTATGAAATAGTAAAAGAAGCAGACACATTAATGTTGTGTGAGCCAACATAGACTCCTAAAATTTAATAATAATTTAGTCTTTATCATGATATTCAGTTATACATTAGCCCACAGTCACTCTATCGCGCGTGATCAGGAGCGTGCAGTATTGCACGGGAAAATCTGCACGCGCAATCATGCGCGATTACCTGTTGGTTTTTGTTACAACGGAAAGAGCGTCCGTGTAAAAATAGCGCAGGATAGACCGCGTGAAAGTGCCGCGTGTTGGTGTGTGTGATTCCTTTCTTCTTCCAACGTCCTTATACACGCGCAATAAAGCGTCTGCGTAAAGGATTACATTTACATTATATTGTATTAGTTGCCACACTTTGCCACATTATGCGGGTTCTTCTTCGCGGGTTGTGAACCTTCTTCAACGTGCAGGTTTCATCACCTAAAAGCGCGTAGTAAATATCAAATTGAATTTCGCATAAAAATCCGAGGAACTCGGAGGTCGGAGCCCGGGTTCAAACGCACGGCCTCTGCTTGGGAGGCGGTTGGTGATTGGTGGTGGTGAATGGTTTGACCATTAGGCTACCACGACTTGACTCAGATATATATACAGGGTGTCCCAAAACTCAACGATAACCTAAGAACGTGATATTACCTAGTTTGTAACAACCCAGAAAAAAAATATTTAAAAAATCGGAGTTACATTTTTTTTTTGTGATATAAGCATTTTAATGAAAAATGTTGAAAATGTACGCCCTGTACACCATTTTTAAGTACTACAATTACAAATTTGCTAATTTTGCTGTTCTAGTTTTTGTAACGGTAACCCAGGTTCGATTCCCGGGCCGGGAGAAACATTTGTGAGGCCTACATTTATTTCTCTCGTGGGTTTGGGTGTAATGTAATTTGTGGTTGTCTATGTGTGTGGCACCCGCAACACAGGGTTTCCCTAGTGCGCGGGGCCATGTTGAGTGTGTGCGTATTATAAAAAAAAACCCTTATACAGGGTGTTACACAGAGGTAAATCGATATTTCTAGGTATTTAAAGGTTTTGTTATGATATTAACCTAGTTTCAACTTAATAAAGATTCAAAAAACATGTGCTTAAAATAGCGTTTTGTTTGCGGTCAGCTGTTCTTTCGCCTTCCTCGCACGCTCGTACTTAAGCTATTTATGAATCAATTTGTCGTAATAACGTCGCATTAGAGTTGTGACACATGGTTGTTTCGGAAAATCACTAATATACAAAACTTAATTACACTTGTATCAAAATCAAAAGTTATTTTTAATTGAAATTTTGCACAGAGGGTCAAAATCAAGTGTACGTTTGGGTCCTTTAATACGGCTACACCTTTCTGTTACACCCTGTATACTCTGATTCCTAGGAAGGGAATGGTTTTAGTTTTTTAATTAAATTTAAAATTGAATCTTGCAGGTTGGGCCGCACTTGTTTTCGTAATATCAAGGACAAGCGTGATTACCACGCACATAGAAATCGCGCTTCCTGGCTATACCTCTCCCGTATTTCTGCCACTAAGGAGTTTGCTTACATGAAGGCTCTGTACGACCGTGATTTCCCTGTACCAAAACCTATTGACTTTAACAGACATTGCGTTGTTATGCAGTTAGTTTCCGGGGGACCTTTGTAAGTATAAATAGAAGTGTATGTTTTTGTTTACGTTTATTATAGTATGACGCGTCTCCTTATATTTAATTTTTATTCAGAGATAAGGCAATCAGTGTATGATTTTAATGCGAGATGGTCATAATCATTTGTATTTGGTTCTCGTTGTCTCCACGCCGTATGGGGACTCTGCGAGTATAAGAGTGGAACCACAAAGTAAAGAAAAACATGTTTATAACAAAAATAACTTAAGAAAATTACATTTAGCTTTTTGTGAAAAGGTTCGCCCCAGGAAGTACTGCTATCTTACCTATTTCTGCCGTCAAGCAGTAATGTGAGCATTACTGCATTCCGGTTTAGAAGAGTACGAGTGCTGGTGAAGGTACAGGTATATGGGACTTATCAACTTAGGTCTCAGGGTGACGGGCGCAGTGTCAGTGCCCATACGATCTTTGCGATTCAAAGCTTTGAATGGCACTGCATCAGTTATGGATAAGCGTGTCGCTTACCGCCAGGCGCACGACGTGTTCGCCCCGTCACTTGGTAGCATAAAAAAAAACATAATTTTTTTTTACCATTGTAACCTGGTTATAATTTTTTCCAGAACACATGTAACTGAAGTGGCAAACCCAGAAGCGCTGTATGAGGAGCTGATGGACTTGATAGTGCGTTTAGGCAACTGCGGAGTCATCCATGGAGACTTTAATGAGTTCAATATCATGATTGACGATGCTGGACATCCTATTGTCATAGATTTCCCACAAATGGTTTCAACTTCACATCCCAATGCTGAACAGTAAGTTCACACATTTTTAGTTCATAAATGTTATAATTATGTATTTTTTATTACATTCAGGTTACAAAGACCCATAAATACATACCTTATAGACTGCCATACATAATAATATAATAAAACAACGCAATGTGGGTGTCCGGTAACCGGCACTACAACGTCGGTATATTCATACTTTCGTCCTTCATGAAAGTTGATAGATGTTGAGTTGGCACTCTCATCACAAATGAATTAAACTTCATATTATGGCGGAAGTGTTGATTCGAATCAAAATCGCATATATTTGTTTTTTTTTTTAAAAAACATCTAACGTTTCGGGCTCTTTACGGTGTCCATGGTCACCGACTCACAGGACTTTGTTTAAAAAGAAAACCAAATATACGTGATTTAGATCGGCAAAAAATATATTCATTTCCTATGTGTAAGAATCGCGAAAATATGGTATTACAATTACTATTTTCTGTTCATAATCTAAACAGGATAAAAAAGATATCCAATAGTAAATGTAGTCCATTAAAAATTTAAAAATGATAAACCAATAACGTTTATTTAAATTTTTATTGAATTGATATTCAATATTTTTTTTATTTTTTGTGAAATTACTCCGGTAGTTTGTTATAATCACAAAGATCGACCACTTAAAAAAAATCCTTCGATCCCATTGACTTTTGGACGACGGGTCTAATATAAAAACCACGAAAGAAATGTCACAAGTCAACCTATTCAAACGTAGTGACATGTTAAGGAATATGAAAAGGCTAAAACGTTGAATTTAAATTGTAATGTCATTGCAGTACTGCCTAATTTTGCTTGCAACAATTGAAAGGCGCAAAAAAACACCATATTCAGCTTCTACTTGAAACTTACCAAAATGCACCATATGTAGCTTCTAGTCAAAACTAATTGAACACAGGTATAATGGAGTAGCCTTTATTATTTATGAATAAATTTTATACGTAAATGTTGAATTTTATACAATGCCATTTATTACGAGCTAGGGTGTCTCTGACTTTTTTTCTTGACTTTCGGGAATTCTCGTACCCGATTTCTCGAGTTATTCGAGATTTTTTTTGAAAACCGTAAAAAATCAGCTCAATCAACTATAAAACTAAATGTGAACTTCTCGAAAGTTGTTTTGACCTGGATGTTTTGAGTTATGCCCCGTTATAAATTCCATCGTTCTTAGTCCCAGGTTCGATTCCCAGTAGAACCAATTTGGGAAAGGAACTTTTGTAAATTGGTTCTGCTTTGGGATTCTGTTGCTCTGATACTCATGGGGAGTATGTACAGAGAGTTCCCTAGTTTCAAACCAGGTGATTGTCTTACAATAGAATACCAAGACCAGAACCATTTAGAAAAGTCAATTTGTTAAATTGATCCTACCGGCATCGAACCCGGGAACTTCTCATCCAGTGCCCACAGTGCAAACCGTTAGGCTATCAAGGTTGTACTATTTGTATTATTATGCAGTGTTTTTGTTCACTCATTGATGTAATCACATACCAAAGCTGTAATATTATGGTCTTTTATCAAGCTTGCATCAGCTCTGGTTTCCTTTCTTTTCTTACCATTTTCTTAACCCATTCGTGCATAGTACTGAAATTATACTGCGCTCAAAAAGGTCACCACTTTTCTATATGCCGTAGTGCTTACATTGATTCAATATAATTATTACGGTTTATCACTGACGACGGTTGATTCCGTCAACAGGCATAGTCGTACTGCTCATAGTTCTTGCAAATGTTTCGTGTACATGAAAAAGTACGGCTATGACGGTAGTAGGGTATTTGCCGCTGTGAGATAATTACAAAATTAAAATGCGCGATATTGATTGCGCAAGAGAAACGCTTTCCAAAATAAACACTTAGGTACTAATTAATAATAATTATTATAATAACGCACACACTCAACATTGCCCCGCATTAGGGAAACCCTTTGTCGCGGGTGCCATGGACACACATATAGATAACCACAAATTACACCCAAACTCACGAGAGAAATAAATGTAGGCTATACACATATTTCCCCCGAAAAACCTAAAAAAATACTTGCGGGATTATGGAAATTCATGCAAACGCTATTTCAGGCAAATGTATTTTCGGTCTTCTGATTCGTAACCCCGAGCCGTAGAAAGAATACAACAATATTTGAAAGTATTACTAACATGTATTAAAAAAGATTTTAATAATAACATTAGCATCAAAGCGATTCTATGAAATTTTTGTACTAAATATTTCAAACTCTTGTGTTTCAAACAATTGAAATTGACGTGATGGGTGTCGTTCAGTCTTTTACGCAAGCCGTGAGTCGGAAAGAGACAATTAGCTATTTGATTTTGATTTTACGATTAATTAAAATATAAATTAAATACTATGTACTATTATATACTATATTATATACTTGTGCATAAAATAACACTTTTAAATGATAACTTTGATAACACAATACATTGTGTTATCATAGTACTTTTTTTTTAGTTATCATACTACAGTACTTACTGAAAATACGATATACCACCCTGTTTTTTCACTTTAGTTGAGTAATTTTTACAAGGTTTTACTACACATATTGTGTACGGCATCATTGACAAGCGCGCTGTCAGTCGAACAAACGAAGACTAAAGCGTGATTGACGCTCTGTATACGATTTTAACGCCCTGTAAGTTCGGACACTTTTTAGCACGGACCCGACGCGACGTCCATTTATATGTAAGTCAATGTTCGATCCGGACAGATTCGAACCGACGTCTTCTAGCAGCCAGACGCTATGCCAACTAAGCCACGGAACGAACCAGCGGACCTCACGAATTTTTCTACGTGGTTGTTGTCGGATCTTTGTATTTACTTTTTCAACGAATTTTTAGCTGTAGCGCCATCTATGAGAAATCTATGAAAGTATTTTGTTATAATAAACTTTATTTTAACTGTCTTCTGAACTGCCCGTTGCCATTGCATCATTCCGATAGATGTCGGCTAACAATTGAATAAAATGCGTATAATTGTTCATAGTTACTTCGATCGTGATGTACGTTGCATTCGCGAGTTCTTCAAGAAACGATACGGATACGAGAGCGAGATATACCCGCGGTTCACCGATCTTGAAAGGGATGATGAGCTAGACCGAGAGATTGCGTGCTCCGGATACAAGCGGACCAAGGACATTGATAATGAACTGCTTGAGGTAACAATAATTACAGGAATACTTACTATTAAGCAAAGGTGTTACTTGTTCATGGTCTCAGTATTACTTGAGGATATCGGAATTAGGGCAATGAACATTGCTCTGCACCTTTACCGAGGAGCTGTATATTATAGTATAAAACACTCATCACCGATGAAAAAAAAAGCACTGGAAGTGCCTAAAGTCTATGGTTACTATTAGAACCGCTTCTTCTTCTTTTTCTTCTTCCTCTTCCTCCTCTTCTTCTTCTTCTCCTTCTTCTTCTTCACTATGTGGAACTTCGCGTACTTCTATTGTAGTTATTGATAGTAATCGAGTCTAACTAATCTAATAAGTACTTGAGTATCACAGTGAGCACTGAAAGTCATACTCACTTGACTATGATGAGTACTTGCCATTACGGTCGTATTTCCAGTGCTTGATATCATATTCCAGTCTGCTCAAATCCTGACTACTCAATGTAGACTTCTGGAATACGACTCTTAATTACTTCCGTCCTTACTTTTCAATTGGCACATTTGTTTAGGAAATGGGCATCGGCATGCAAGTGAGCGGGGATGAAAACAGTGGATCAGAAACAGAAGATGGTGAACATGACAGATCTACTAAATATACAGAAGACGAACTGTCTAGTTTGAGAAAAGAGGTAACTTCAGGATCTTTAGTAAAATGTTTTTAGTCAAGGAGAACATGCTCCTTGTTTTAGAAATAAATAAATACATCTCAGGCATGAAGTTCTGAGTCTGCCTCGTATAATTAGATTAACCTGAAAATTCATTTTAACTCTATTTTTTTTGCACGTGATAACTCTTTGCAAGTTCATGGATCTCTGGACAAATAGAAATCACTAATGTAGCAATTCTTTTCTTAGTTTTTTTTTATTTAATTTTTGTAATGTTTAGGTTGAAGATTCAATACAAAACGACGAAAAAAAACTTCAAGTAGAAAGAATTATAACTAAAACAATCAACTTAAATATTAAGAATGATGAAGAACCGCCTACGTTAGTCAAAGCTGTAAATATAGAGGAGTCAATTAAACAAGTAAATGAAGATCTAGACGATGTCAACGGGCAATTGGACATGACTTCGCAGAAGTACCGTTTGGCTATGATTGAGAAATCTTTGTCCGATGTTAGGACTATGAGATCCTACACTTCTGCTAGTACTATTGCTCCTGAGGTAAGTTATAATTTAAAAAAGATTCGGGTACTCGGGTAGCAGGAAAAGAATCCTATACGCAATTTGTACAGAATAGTCTCTTTACCATTCTGCCTTTTTTGAAAATGGAATAAAATGACAGTTCATTACGCAAAAGTGTTGCCCGCTTACAAGCGACTATTGATTGCAGTCGATACATATTCTATCCAATATCGACTGAATGTTGGTTACGCTTGCAATAAATAGTCGAATTTATTTTTCGTCCAATTGTTGGGCATAGGTTCATTTGAATTGTCAAATTTTGCGTGTTCATACTTACACTGCATTTAGAATCTAAAGAGGAGACATATTTTACAGTTTTTTCATTTTAATCAATATTTTATTTTTCAATATTTTTTATTTTTCAAATATTTTATATTTCATTTTAGTAATTATTTTAATACATAGCTTATCAAATCCGCATGTTCTTGTTAATATATGTGTATAAATTAAAAAAAATATTTTGTTACTAGTAGGCCAGCTGTCAAAATGAAGAAGAAAAGAATGAAGAAGGCAATAACGCAATTAGTAATCGTTAGAACATCATAACATTCGCAATTTAGAATTTTTGGCATTCTTGCACAATCTATGGATAAAACTTTCGATAACAACTACATGGCTTTTTGAAATTTGATGAAAGCTGGCAACCCTATAAATGTCATTTTACTCTGTCTTCAAAAAAGACCTAAGCCGTAGCTTAGGATAAAAATATGGGAAACTATCTTATCTAAGCTATGCTTAGTTCGCTAGAAGTCATTTTCGAACCAAATTTAACAGTGAAAAATTTTACATGCCATTTAACAGCGAAAAGAAATTTTTATATGCCGTGTTAATGCATGCTAAAGGCCCCCATACACAGCAGATTCCTCGTTTCGATCGATCGTCGCGATAATCGTATCGACCTGTCGCTGTCGCGGTCAAATAAATCGTTAACGACATCAACCTTTACATTCGTCGTTCCGATCAGTCTGAAACGACGGATCGCGAAGACAAATAGTGCCTTATGACAGCTGGTAACAATTCACTAACAACATAAATCTTGTTATGGATTGTATCATAATTTGTCATATTTCTGTTTCCATTACCAGGTAATCAAACAACAAGTAAAAAAGAACCTCGAAACCCGTCAGAAAAAGATGGATCGCAAGAAAGCTATCGCCAAGGGCGAAGCTAGCGCCGTCACGCGGAGCAGACGGGACAACAGGGAAACAATACGGGAGAGCCACGGGCTCTGGGGGTGGGACGAATGAGACACCGACGTGTGTATATAATGTATATTGTAATAAAGTATGTCAAGAACAATTTATAGTATTATTTCTGTAGTAAAACTTTATTACTAACAATTTTATTAAAGCTATCAACACAAAAGTGATGTGACGCCATAAAATGCATATATAAGAAAATAAGGGATAAATTTAGCCGAATTTATTTTATATATAGCAATCATGTATGACTAACGTTACAATAAATCCCGCTTTGAGCGGGACAGGCTCGCCATTTTTAAGTTCGTGTCCCGCCGTTCCCAAAATACTTAATGTCCCGTTTTGACATAACAGGATGACGCGCGTCGTCTGCGCGTATACGGCATACGCTCGCATACGCTGTAGTAAAACGATTCAAACGCGCGCAAACATCGCGATGAATGCAAGAAGCTTATATACTCCACTGGAGTTACACACTTTTAATTTTGTGTAGTTGCTTCATTTTAAAAAACTAACTAAAAATAATTAAAGCTATCCTTAATCAAAATGCGCGATTACATACGCGCGACTACAGCGCATCTGCGGCGCGTATACATGCAGATGACGCGCGTTTACGGCGCGTGCACGTCGTAAAAGCGCTGATAAAATACACCGTGTGCATAGGCTCTAAATGTTACGTAATCGGTCACTCCTCCCGCACCTCGCAGCTACCTAAGAACGGTTCCTGAGTTGGTACTCAGTTAAGTGGTAGGCCTGTAGTAGGAATAATTTTCTGTATATATAAACAAATGAATGAAATTAAAAAATTACAATCGATAATTTTTTTTCACCTCACTAGCTCGGAAAGGCTTTCTTTCTCATTAGAAATCTGCGCGCAAAAGCGTTTTTCGCACGCTAGCGTGGAAAAGGTTTTTGGAATTCGAACTCAACGATGAATTGTTGTGCACATTGACCTACCAATAAAAAGGTCAATGGTTGTGCACCTAACTTTTCTTTCGATGAAAAATAAAAGATAATGACACGTTCAACTACGCGATTTGTCATATTTATGCAATAAAGATCCGTTGGTATAATTTATTATTATTATTGTTGACATTAAATTGACAATGATAACAAATTGTGTTTATTATTTTAATTCGTCGAAGAACTAAAATAATTTCAAAAAAATTTGAAAAACAACTACTTTGCAGCCTTGCATAACAAATAACTATTATATTATATAAAAAAATTTTCAAATTAGACAAAAGATTACGATCACAATTTCGCAAAAAAAAAACTGCATTATTATTGGGACAAAAAGTAAAAACTAATGGCCGGCTAAATGTGTAATAAGTTATAAAAAGATAAGCAAGATGCACTGTTTTTCTACTCCTCGTCCTGTTCCTCATCTGCATATGCATTGTTCCCATTTTCTTGAACCTCCACAACATCCTCCACTAAAAAGGAATCGAAACTTTATTTTATTTTATTTCTTGTTTTGCTGTATAAAACGAAGCGAAAATTCTAGAAAAGAAATTTCTGCCTCTGAAAAGAAGTATCTACCTACATGGGGTACAATTAAAATTTATTACCACAACTTTACAGTTTTGTAACGATAAGGTCTTAGAGCAAGTTTTTTTGGTTTTTTTTTTCATACTCATAGTCCCGAACCACTTGGGACAGACAACAAACAAACAACAACAAATTACGCCCAAAGTCACGAAAGAAATATATGAAGGCCACACAAATATTTCTCCCGGTTCGGGAATCGAACCCAGGACCTCTGCGTGATAGACCAGCTTAGTTACCGTTCGGCCACAGAGGCAGTTACCGGTAGGGACATACCTGCCTAAACGGGGGTTCAACAATTAAAATGTATTACTAAATACAAACTAGAGAGTGTTAGGTATCTGAAAGGTCTATATTAGCAATTTAAATAAGTTCTGAATTATGTTTTAATCATGGGTGTGATATAGAAATTTGAGAAGAATACATTTGAGACTCTCCGACTCTACATCGTAGATTAAAAATTAAATTTTCATTACCATCTTCATTCACTTCCACCTGCTTGTCCTCACTACCGGTCGGTTGGTCGATGTGCGCCACCGAATCTGAGGTGCTATTGAGGTGGAAGTTCCTCGGGCTTCTCCAATCATGTTCACGAATGTACAGGAGCTGAAGACTCGCGTCCGTGCAGAGTAACTGAAAAATTCATGGTATTTCAAATGCAAATGCAAAATGCAATGATCCTCAGATCATTGCATGGTATGAAAAATTACTACGGGACTCGCAAATAGCCCCAAAACCGTTGGATTTATTACAATAATAATAATAACACACACTCATAGCCCCGCACTAGGAAAACCCTGTATTGCGGGTGCCATGGACGCACACATAGACAAGCACAAATTACACCTACTCACGAGCGAAATAAATGTAGGCCATACAAATATTTATCCCGGCCCGAGAATCTAACCCGAGACCTCTGCGTGGCAGTCGAGTATGGTAACCGTTCGGCAGCAGAGGCAGTAAAAAATAAAGAAATAAAAAGTAATATATGCATTTTTTTTTCAATGTCTAGTAGTCGCGAAAACAAAAAAAAACGCGAGCTCTCGAGTGAAATGAAATAAACTCAGAACTGATCACTTCGAAACAAAGTATCACATTCAATCTATGCATTCAACCCATATTGACGAAATTGTGTATTTTTATAGTATGCACATAAGAATACCTATTCTATAGACTTAAATTGACACCTTGAAAATGAGTGTGATTCTCTAGCGAATTTGCGTAAATTCATTAAAACGGATTGTTATGTATACCCTTTTGTCATCATCATCGTAACCCTGAAGCCGGTAAGTGTAGCCGAACACGCTGGTAGAAATTTTTGACTCTGACGCTGTGAGATCACTGTCCTCAGTGAAGAACGGGTAGTCGGTGATCTTGTAGTTTCCTGCTTTTATTGGACAGTCTAGCCTGTAAAACAGCATCTTAGAAAGGTCAAATAAAAAGTTACTTAAATTAGTTTGTTGAATAATAGCAGAACAACTTAACTATAACTGTAAAATATTACAATCAAAATCATGAAACGTAGCTACTTGGGCAGCCACTGTGGCACACATTATAAGACAACAGAGGACATTTTGTTTCTTTGGACTACAAGCTACCAATGCTCGTAGAATATAAATGAAAATAGCTAGTAAAGTAACGAATTTCTCGGGCGGAGTCTTCACTAATTAATTTCCGTGGCAATTTTTATTATTTAAGTGTCTATTCGATTTTTTATCGTGCAATATTATTTACTTGGTACTTGGTGCGACGGGCTGGTGTCCGCAACTCGACGTCAAGGCGCCTATTTTGCGTGTAGTTGGTGCAGGATCCTACTCGTGCCACCCAAGCTCCTTCAGGAACCTCAGCAACCTCCTCGGTTTGCTGAAGACTTCGAGGAGCAACCTCGGCACTCCAAGGTACTTCGCTCTTTAGTTGGCCACGCTAGAGCACTGTAGTAGGATGTGCGCAGCCGTTTCCGGGGAGGAAATCTATGATCTCTATGCACGCTCTGAATAAAGGGCTGTCTGTGATACTTAAATTGAAAAGGTGTTTAATGTATGGACCATAACCCGTTAGGGCGGCAGTTAGAGTGCGAAGCTCTTGCCTTTTGAGTTTAATTACTTTTCGAGATAGAATGGCGGTGAGCGTTGGGAGTGCTTCCCTCGCCTGTCTACAAACCGTAAGGGTAGTCCATTTGTCGTTATGAAAAAGTTTTGTACCTTTGTATACAGTTGCTCTGAACCATTGGTAGGGGAGGGACACTACGGGTTCTGGTCCTACAGCGGCCGTCTCCGACCCTTTTCTGGCTAGTTCGTCTGGTGCGTCATTGCCACGTGAGCCGCTGTGTCCTTTAATCCACTGTAGAGTTACGTGATTGTGTATACATATCTCCATGAGTACTTGATGACATTCATAAATCAGCCCTGGGGTATTATTTCATATTCGAGTATTGTATCGTGATTTATTAGTTCCATCGTTACTTAATAGTTACACGATAATATAGTTGAATATTTAAATAACAAAAATTGCCACGGAAATTAATTAGTGAAGACTCCGTCCGAGAAAGTCCACAATCAGGTGCCACCGGCTAATTTATTGTAGCACCTACCTATACCTTCGAATATTATGGTCAAGTTGAATGTGATTATGTCAGAGCTGAGGCTACAAACGTAGGTAAGGTACTACTCGTGTTAATAATACATGTATCGACGTAGTTGATGCTCAGTTTAATTCATTATTTGTCTGCGAAGTATCACAATGTTATTATACCTAACCTACTAAGATGGTGAACGCAAATGACATCCATTCATTTAGATAAGGCAGGTCAAGTCACACTAATGTTTACCGATTGATATAACTGATTATGGTCGTGTTTACGTAATTACGTAAGTACGTATGAATACAAAACTACACACATTTTGTTTTTGTCTGACAGTTGGCATTTCATAAACTAAATAATATAATGGACTTAAGAAAATGGACGTTCACCCCATCAAGACAGACCTGGACAAAATTTAAATAATAAGGTTCGCGCATACCATACCAAATAAATGCCCAACCCAAAGAGTGTCGTCATGCGATGGCTATCTAAAAAAGCCTATTATAATTATGTAATTGCAAATATGCATTAACGCGGTGATGCGCTCTATTTGTTGAATTTTTAGCGAAGTGTCAGCGCCCCAGAAAAAGCTGAATAATATGGCAATCTATCTACATACTTAGGTTTAACATAGTGGAAGAACATGTTATAAAGATCTTCCTGCTCGGAGTCAGCGCAGCCATTGTTGACAATGTGGAATTGTTTGAAGAGGTCACAAGTGTCTAGGTTGCGAATGTCATGACACTTTTGCATGGTCGCCTGGAAATAAACACTGAAGGATTGTTTGTAAAGTCGCAATGAGAGTGCACGTTGGTATCAGTGAAATTAAATAAATTATTAAAAAAATATTTTTTCTGTTTAATTAAAAGCTCATGTGGTGCCATTTGCGTGAAGATGCACTTACGTTACCTAAAGACAGAAACTATTAACATTTACCAATACAAGTATAACTTTGCTTAATGGGAAAATCTCATCAAATCTCGCAAAACAATGGCAAAAAAATTAAAAACATTTTTTATGAAACGGTATTAGAATTAAAAAGTCAAATTCAAAATCTCATTCAATTTTATTTATTAATTTTTCTAAAACGAACGACTACCTACCTAAGCGCACAATGCTGTGCGGTGACTGTAGCCACCTACGGATAAACCCGTTAAAGGATTGCAGAAGGTAAGTTAAATTTAAAAGAAACACTTTAAATTTTTTGCTTTAGATTTTTTATTTATTTATTTACTATTACTTCATGTTTAGGCTGATGGCTTTGGCAAAGCCATCAGCCTAAACATGAAGTTTAATTATGTTTCTGTAAATATGGCCGCCACAAAGAGGATAGGCAATTTGAGGCGGCGTGCTTGGATTGACTCGGGATTCCTTAAAACGGGCCGATACGGGTATTCTAGTTCGAGATTCGTATAATTTCGCGTTTTAATCTTCGATTAAGGCACAATAGCACTATCCTATTCCACTTTAAACTAGATTTCACAAAATAATTGAAAGTCAAAATAAAAACGAAACTTTTCCCTCCAAAAGGTCCAGAGCGAAACCTTTTGCCTTAGATAATAAATTTAAAAAAAAATTGAGGCTGAAGTCAAATGAGCAAAGACTTTTTTTGTAATATCAAGTGACGGGACGAAGAAGTCGTGCGCCTGATGGTAAGCTACACTCCTGTCCATCACAATTGCAGTGCCATTCAGAGCTTTACATCGCAAAGATCTGAGAGGCACTGCCACTGCGACCGTCACCCTGACTGAGACATAAGTTGACAAGTCCCATGCGCCTGTAATTTCACCAGCACCTTTTCCCTTCTAAACCGGAACACGTCAATGCTGACATTAGTGCTTGGCGGCAGAAATAGGTAAGGTGACAGTACTTTCCTGGACGAACTCTTTCACAAGGAGCTCTGCTGCTACTAAAAGATAATCTTAGGAGTATTATTATTATTACTTAGTTAACCTTGTTGTGCGCAGGAGGAGCACCTAAAAGTAACATCAATAGTGGTCAGATCAGCGTCAGAAGAGCTATTATTTTTTATTAGACTATGTTATACAAAATCCTCATCCACACTTGTATGCCTTACGACGTTATACGAGTATAGTAACAGTGTCAAAACAGACCTTTGCTTCTGTTTCCGCACGCTTTTGCACGTCTGGTTCCGTTTCTGCTTCCGTAACTTTTATAACGGTATTTTATTCGGAAATCTATATTCGCGATGGATAAGGCGCGTGCGCGTGCCTTCTTGGCAATGGGGTGCGCATATTTTATAATAATAATAATAACAATAACGCACACACTCAACATAGCTTCGCACTAGGGTAACCCTGTGTTGCGGGTGCCATGGACACACACATAGACAACCACAAATGACTCCAAAACTCACGAGAAATAAATGTAGGCCATAGGTACAATTATTTCTCCCGGCCCGGGAATCGTACCTGGGACCTCTGCGGCATGGTAACCGTTCGGCCACTGAAGCAGTTAATTTTAGCAGTTTTGTGTTGTATTAAGTGCAGTTAAGGCAGTTTTGATTTGTTAAGAGCAATTCTCCCGTTTGCCAGAACAACGTGTTATTTATGTAACGTCAATGTATTCGAGATAACCCGTTGTTCTGGCAAGCGGGCGAATTAAGAAACCAAAGGTTATTACTATACTATTTCGTTGGGATCTTCATTGTCGTCGAGTATATTGATGTTTATTGTATTTACGCTTCCGCATCCGCTTCCGTTTCCGATAAGATTTACTTTTGACTACCTGTTTCCGTTTCTGTTTGCGTTATGACAGTTCCGTCGCATCACTACTAGCAACCACCGGACATTCCCTTCAAGTAGGTATCTGCCTACATACATCTTGCCTTCTTATGTATGGTTCCTCACAAGTTGAATAAAGCTAAACGAATGTTTTATATGGCCGCGTGGCCTGCTTACCTAATATTTCAGATGAACAGTATTATTTTACCTACTATAATATATGTAGTTATCCAATAACAATATAATATTTATAAATTACCTAAATAACATCTTGAATAAGCGTACCTTAACAGTCCATCCATTTGAAATGTCCGTAGATATATTTATCCAACCTGTCAGTGAGGATTCGTACAATCCTCTATTTAAACTCATTTCAGATACAACCACTACGTCTTTAGACAAATCGAATTCATAACACGGCCCCACTCTTGTGACTAACAAATGCGTCGGTGTCACAGGAGACCCTTCTGCTAGGGTTGGGATTATTAGAAACAATAAATGAAACATTATTGCGATGTATACGATTACCAATGTCGAATTTTATTTTATGTTATTTATGGAACAGAACGAAAAACAAAAAGACCGGTCACGAGGGTGGTGGAAATCTATAAGACAGGGTCCCGTGAGTTACAGCAATAGTAGGTTCATAATTATTATAAAAGAAGGAATAATGTTTGCACTGTAATACCAATATATATAATATAGGTGTACCTAAATGTGAATGCCTAAAGCAATGAACACCACCAATCCAGCCCGTCATAGTTACATTTTGATCATATGTTTCAGTTGTAATATTGACGTAGATAGTAGAGGTGAAACTGGTAGTGATTCGACCGGATACCGGATAGCTGGGGTTCACCAAAGACGTACCATCCATTATTGCGAAGTTACCGCGTTAAAAAATGGAAAAAAATAAATCCAAAAATGTCAGTTGGCAAAACATCGCCCGTTTAGGCGTGACCCTTAGAGAATGGAAAAAAATTAGTCTAAGGGGTGATCACAGTTTGAAGTCTAGAACACAACATACCTATCGTCTGTCGCTGCAATGAAAATGTCCTAGTATATTTGCTCATAAATACCACCCGAAACGAAGTCCACCCTCGCGCCCTACGTTATAGATATATCGTGGTTATCTCACTAGTCAATACGAAAATTTGCCCGTAATTCAAAAGTACACTATGCATGATGATTGATGACTTAGCTAGGATTTGCCCATTGGTACTAAGCGCAGGAGTGTGGCCCTGGGGTACTCCTGCGGGGAGGTCACAGCACAACACATCGTACCATTCCTTGCCTGGGCGTCTGGCGCACCCTGGACAACAGACGGCGAGTACCTTTCGGCGGCTGGCAAATCCTTTCACCACGATGGCCAACATTACAGTGCATGCCACCGATACGAAAAGAAGAAGTATGGCCCTTAGCTAAACGTTTGGATACACCTGGTCTAAAGTATCAACATTTAGGCACCTTTACAACCGGTATAAAATAGAAATGGTGTTGTAACGTTTTTGTCAATTTACCTATGGAGCCCTAAAATTTGCAAAAACAATCAGTCAAACTAGTAGGTATAAAATATAGAACAATTACCGTTTTTCATAATGATTTTATAATGTTTTTTTGATTGATTACAATAAGTTGTGTAATTAAATGTACATCAGTTCCGCTTGATCAATGAATCGAAGATTACATAATACATTTTTTTAAGAAATTTTTAGAGACGTGTTTCACGACCACATATCTTTAGGTTCATGAACGGCGCTTCTCCGCACGTTGTATTTCCTTTCTTGTACGTCAGGTGCACCCATAGACATTGGCAAATACTTTCTACAACGATGGCGAGTGTATTTGCAATTTCAATTTCAATTTCACCAGCACTCTTACCCTTCCAAATTGCAACGCAGGAACGCTTACAGTACTGATTGGCGACAGAAATAGATAAGGTGGCAGTACTTCCCTGGACAAAGTATTTCACGTGGAGCTCTACTGCTAGCAGCGCTGGCAGCAGCCTGTTAGGTATTTCTGAGTACAGACATCTGAGCTAATCTTTATGAACTGGGTCATTGACCAGCGCTGACGCTAGCCCATGCAGCGTATCACGGTAGAATCAATATCTTGGCGCCTTCTAGTAGGCACGCGATCAAAATGGAATACTTGCAGTTATATATTTTTCCCAGTGATCGGAAATGCGGGTGCAAATGGCACAATTATAAATGATGTTAGGAAGCAATAACTCCCATGCTGCATTTAACTGCCTCCGTGGCCACCATGTCCCAGGTTCGCAGAGGTCCCAGGTTCGATTCCCGGGCCGGGAGAAATATTTGTATGGCCTATATTTATTTCTCTCGTGACTGTGTGTCGTATCGTATCTACTGAATAATAATAGTGTAATAAGAGAATGAAAAAAGATAACCGTAATCTATGTAAAGATAATATAGTCATCAGGTACAATAAACATGGCATTTTACTACCTTGACAATATATATCTTACTTATCGCATACATATTATCTAAATAAATGAACTGCGCCTTAATTAATGTTTCATCATTTTATTTTAACAAATTCTCAAATAATATATACCTAATGTTGGCAAATTTCGTATGAACACATGCAGGTAGTGGCCCGAAACGTGACAGCCAAAACCAGAATTTACATTTTTTTTTGTACTTCTACCTATACGAAATAACCTCATTTATGCGCCGCCATTTTTTTTTGTCTAGAAAAAGTGAACATTATTGGCGAGTTTTCCTATAGCCACGGATTACTTAATTCTTTTCTTTCTGCTGTTTCTTCGAGCTTTTTTTTTTATTAACATTACCACTATTAGTGGACTTTCATGCAAAAAATAAACGCTTTTTTTTAATTTACTTATTTATCGTAATGTAAAACAGCATATAGCTATTCGGATGTAGGCCTTAACTTGAAAATTAATTCGAGAAGAGTTCAACGTAAATAACAAGCTACAAAAAGAAGCATAAACTTAAATTATGTTACTTTTTATTATTTTTGAAAATTTTTAAGGATGTCTAACTCTATAAATCAGGCGAAATAAATGATATTTCGAACGGCATTATTTTTATTATGTAGAGCGGATATTCGTCAAATTATTTGTCTCTTTCTTTTTCCTATTTTTCCCATTCTTAAAATGAATGCAACTGAACACGCATGTGATTAATTGAAAATTTACTTTGAATGTTTCTAAGTCAAACTTGGTGAAACAATAATAGTCAAACTTTGTCAAACAATACGGTCAAACGGGGTGAAAATAAACATTACTTATTTATATTCTGATTCAAACTAATTTAAATAATCATACTATCAAACGCATCTAACCTAAAAAAAACCGAAGTATTCATTATCATAATATCGTAATGTAGAAATGCTACTATCACAGTTGCTTACATGAAGAATGGTAATAAAATACCCTAGTAACTTCATTTCATCATTCACTTTTTTAGTAGTTTCTGTTTACCGTAAGAACGAGTTGTTTACATTAACATCCATTACTGAGATTATTATTTTATTTTTAAACAACAAGTGATTTTGTGATTTCGGCATCTAAAACTAGTTTAATCTTGTTCATTCACCACTAATGTTAAATGTACCTACTTTTGTTTAATGATATGTAAACATGGGGAACCTGTCATTAGCTTTACTTACTGTTAGCCTATATTCTATGTAAAATATTTTACGTAGTTTTCTTAATAAGTAAATAAAAAAAATCGAGGTGTTCATTATTATAACTCATTTAGGGCGAAATATTCCATTTAACAGTAGATTCCTAATCACCCCCTTTTGACGGCAGTGTACCATACCCTATTCGATATAGCAATCCACCCTCTGACCGTGACAATGGCGAAGGCTATCGATTATCGATCGGTCCGACCTATAAACGACCCACGGTCAACAGCTGCGCGTGCGTGCGTCTCCGCAGATGCGTTAATTTTTGCTAGAATGTCTCGTTTGATGTCAGCGGTAAAACGAGACCTAATATTATTTCGCGGGCAATTTACGCATTGATGTTGTGAAATTTATATCGCTATTTTTCAAGAGTAGTAAAAAAAATCTTTAAACCCCAACCAAAATAGTTAATTTTACTTAGAATAAGAATACATTTATTGCATAACTATAGGTAATTACATAAGATCTTATTGGTTTATACTCTATAGTTTACCAGTTATGGTGTACAATATTATTAAATGTCACAGATTAAAATTAAATTACATTAGAATATGAAAGGAAAAAAAAACAATGATTATTAAACCTGTCACCAAATTTATCGTTGTCGTCAAAAAACTCTACACTATAATAAAGTTTGGTAGTCAACCATTACTAAGAGCATTTTTTGAATTTTAGGTATTCGAATTTATTTAATTCATTCGGAATGTTAGCTTAGTGTTAGAGCTTCTTGTGAAAGAGTTCGTCTACGGAAATACTATCACCTTACCTATTTCTGCCGACAAGCAGTAATGTTAGCATTACTGCATTCCGGTTTAGAAGGGTAAGAGTGCTGGTGAAATTACAGGCACATGGGACTTGTCAACTTATGTCTCAGGGTGACGGGTGCAGCGGCAGTGCCCTCTGTTCTTTTCGATTTAAAGCTCTGAGTGGCACTGCAACTGTTATGGACAGACGCGTAGTTAGTTTATTAATAGGTGCATTGACTTGTTCGTCCCGTCACTTGATATTACAAAAAAAATTGCGATTTCAAAATATGACGGATGTTTCTGGACAAACGTTTATTACAGTTTATCTCAGAATGTGTTAATTTTATTATCATTAAGACGAACTTCTCCTCTTTTACCATCACTACATTTGCATACCAATTCGTCGGTTTTGGACACCAGATACGCTTCCCGTTATTTGAAATGATCCTCTTGACTTCAATTATTTAGATATTTTTGAGATAAGTCGCTATATTCTATAGTTTATTTCGACTTATTACAGTTTAATTCAGAATGTGCTAATTTTGTTGTAACTAAGAAGAGATTGTTCTTGTTCAAAGTTACGTGACAACATTTGTGTATACCAATTCGTCGCCTTTGTGCGCCAGATACGATTCCGCTTTTTAAAATAACTTTCTTAACCAATTACTTAGTTTTGGAGATAGGCCTCTATTCTAGAAAGACGTTCAACTTAAATAAATAGTAGCGGATATTGTTTACAGTAAATCAATAATATCTGAGTACTAGGTACTCATAAGATCTTTACACTCAATGTTTTTGTATCACATATTCAGTATAAAATATTATTTAGTTAACTACTTTTTAAACTAATGATAACGCAATGACTGCTGAATACGTCAGATATCGCTGTTGAATTTTAAGTACGATTTACGTACACAAACACCGTGTTCGCGCTCCTGTTTATAATAACTTACAGATCACGCTGTATAAACAAACGATTGGGTACTGTATAGAATTAGTGCAAGAATTCCTCAAGTTAGGTACTGAAAACGTATTTATTTTTAGAAATGTTCTAAATTCTAAGTCCTTAGTTCAAAATCGCCGTACTGCCAAATACTATACTACAGTTTTATACATAATATATACAGAATATCTCCTCACGTTCAAAAAGGACTTTTTATGTTACAAACTTTCGAACAAATTATGCAAAAAATACCTTTCTCAGACGATCGTGTAGTTTTTATGATAAGTGTCTTCATGATGTTAATATATGTATTTGTAAATTTCTTAAATATTTTTAAGAAAAAAGTGGGAGAACTAATATTCTAGTGGTTCTAATGTACATTTTCATTATATTGTTATCTTTGGATCTGTAATGTGAATATTTTGGCAGTATATAGGTAAATATTTGTATCTGTCACATACATATTTGCATCATTTATGTTATGTGTGTTAACGTAGGGTACCATAGGTCTATTTTTATACAGTGTTCTTAGATAATTGTTTGTATAAGACTGTTTGTTACCTGAATGAATAAAATAATAACGTATATTTTTTGTTGTAAGAAGATCGTCAGCATAATCACCCCATTTGTACGTCCCACTGCTGGGCACGAGTCTCTTTTCAGGTGAACAAAAGAAGACCCATTGACTTACAACAATGAAGAAAATGGGTGATTTAGTCAGGCAAATTATCGGTTGCTCTGCTCGTGGCTTTAAGCTTAGTTCATAATTACATTTTTTTTTCAAAAAAAAAAACAGCGACTGTTGACCTCAAAACTTCGTGGAATTACATCTACTTATTTGCCAAGTTTTATACACTGCGTTATTGATATATTTATAAAGGCGTATATAGCAGACATCACGTATATTTCAAGAATTCATCAAAAATTTATTTAGGAATTTGAATCTGTAAGATATTCTTGGAATTATGGCCCAAAACGATCTCTACTGTACAACGTACATGCAAGACTACGTCAAGCTGGACACTTCGAACTTTTGACCGGTCTGATTGTAAACGATATACAGTTGAATTTAAATCTTAAGTGTCCAGCTTGTTTTATCAAGCAACCTTGATGTAAAGATTAATAAAATAACACTAAATCGCGTACTCAAAATATGTTTAAGTGTTTCATTCATTCATTGGTATCTAAAATTGGATAAAACTTTGTTTTTATTCTCTTATGTAATTTGAGTGTGACAACAGTTACTTTATCGTACAAACAGTTATCAATTTTAATGATGTTACGTAACTATTGTACAATGAAATTGTTGACACGGTGCTCTTATTCGCGTGGCGGTGCGGTGGAGACAAGACCGGGCCGATCATTTATTTGATTTACTCCACGTTCAGTATCAAACAAGTGAGCTCGCGTAACGCTCGTCATTATGTCTCAGGATAACCTCTCCGCTGTTCTTTACAAAACAAAGGATTTAAAACTTGTAAGTAAACAGTTTTTTTTTTAATACGAAAATATTCTATCTTTTCTATCCATTGCTTATTCAATTTATCTAAAATTACAATTTAAAGATTCAGAATTTTGCAATACCTATGTGTTTTGCAATTTGTGTGTAAAATGTTGATACTAACCTTGAACTTGTAACTGGTTGAGTTATTTACAAGTAAACAGCATTTTAAGTATTAAATAAAATGAAAAGTTTTGTTAACGGATGCGATCGATAGGTGCAACAAAGAAAATTGAGGTTTCGTTTTGCAAATTTTTAGACCAAGTAATAGCGATGTAAACAGACTTACAGACGCGCAATAAACATAAAGTTATGTTTTAGCTTGTCTAACATTAAATTAAATGACATTAATAATGTTTTTCTTTGACTTCGGTTTCTTTTAATTACAGTTTTTGTATGTACGTCTATATAGTGACTATAGTTATTATATTATATTTATATTTTTTTTCTTTATGCGTCCACGAAAACAATTCATATAAGGTTCCTGTTTTTTTTTTCAGGCACAAACTCCGATTCCGCAAATTGCAGACGATGGTGAGCAGAAAAATTATTTGTGCAATGCGTTAGTCGATCATTATTCAATACTACATTTTTAATAAACGTTTTGAGACACTTACCAAAAAGGCTTAGGATTGTGACATTAAAATTTGATGAGGTTGATACTTATTTTGTAATATCCTGAATGATGTCAGTATAATCACAAGCTGTAAGCCCATACTTAGAGCACGCGTGTTTTATCTAAACAATAAAACCATCGTGGATTATTGCGGTTTATTCCCAAAACATTAATTCCCTGTGCGTCGACTTTATACACTTTATGTAACTGTGATATTATACATTGGAACTTAGCATTGAAAGTAGAAATTCGCACCCTTGGTGTACTAAAACCACATCTGCAAAATTACAAATTTTCTGGAGACAGGTTTAAAGATTCTATTAACGAAATTAGTTGATAAGCTTTTTATCCTTAAATAGGAGAGTCATACAATTGCACATACATATGCATACATCATTTTGTTTCATATTCGCATATTCGTCTTATTTTTATAACTTTCATGTCGATGCCTCCAATGATATCCGTTGTGTAGTGTATTCAAAATTGGAATATTTTTGTATTTTTTTCGAATTTTGTTTTTTATTTCTTTATTTTTTTTTTGCACAAAATTCGGTGAGTATTATATTAGTAATTAAATGTGACTATTTACAAAAATAGCAGAAAATGACCAAAAAATAAAGTTGGTCTAGTGCTCCTAGAAATATACATGTGATAAAAGCATTTTCGACGTATGATCGTATGCGGGTCTAGGTGTTTTGGTAATCGTGCTAAAATTAAATTTTATTTAATATGCCAGAGGTACTGTTGCGCATGGACTGCGTGGGCATCTGTGGATCGGACGTACATTACTGGCAGGACGGCGCATGCGGCCACTTCATACTCAATTCGCCCATGATCATGGGCCATGAGGCTTCTGGTGTTGTTGATAAGGTAAATTTCATATAAATTTTTTTTTTTATTGTGTGCATATTGACACTGGAAACGTAAGACGTCTAACGCGCATTTGGAAAATTTTACAGAAGTGCGATTTAAAGTAATTTTTCAAGAAAAAATTAAACTGGATTTATGATTTGTTTTTTCTTAAAAAAATATTTTTAGTTACTGTAAATATTTTCCAAATGCACTTTAGACGTTACCTTTCCAGGGTCGAATATACAAAAACGGGTAACACCACTAGTTACAAAAATATTCAAGATTGTAGTTAGCATAATTTAAAGTAAGATGAGTAATTAAAATAAGCGCATCCAACAGAGATGAATGACGGTAAAACACTGTCCTAGGAATTCATTGCTTTCGCCTTGAAAACGTAACTTCGATTCGCTTCTTTCAATCCATCATATTCTATTTCCGAACAAAAATCAAAAATATCACAAAATAAAAAATGTGTTTTTTCTTTTGTGATAATTTTATTATAACTTAAAAACTCACCTCAAAAGTTTGTGGAATCTTCTATTTGACAAGTTTTATTGAAATAGAGTTAACTGCCTTCTTGGTTGAACTCATTAAAATACAATTTAATACTTTGTTTTCGTTCAACTCATGATTTTGTTGTATAATCAAAGGTAGGAATAAAAATCTGTGCGTCATCTACATAGTTTATATTAACATTGTTACTATGTTCAAATTTTAATATACATAATCGATACCAGAAGTATCAATTAACGCAAGGGACATTTTGTCGAAAATCAGTTACCTACATATATCATTGGATTAGGAAGTTCCCGCTCTATGGACTGATGTTATTAAAATTTAGGAATACCCGCATTATAATAATTTAGGCACAACTAAACATCTTTTTTAATGTAAGGGACATGCTATATTTTAAACCACTGGGCATTGCTAAATCTTTCGTTTATGCATGAAAGAAGAGGAAATTCTAAGAAACTTTTCTCTAGACACAATAAAAATTGGTGCAGACAGTAAAAGTTATAGACAGATTAAAAAAAATAAAGTCGTTTTTTGGCACTCCTGAAAAACCGCGGTTTGTCCCGTACATTAATTGTTACTTCTAGTATCGGATATATAACAACACATAATCGACGTCGTGTTGTAAGTAGGTACTATGTGTTAGCAAAAATGTCGTCGTTTAAACTACACAGTGTAAATACCCTAACGATGTTGATTCTACATGAATACGTGGAGAGATAATAGCGATGCAACAAAATTCACATTTACGTGACTTGAAAACAATTTTTATAACACTGGCGATGAGATATTTTAATCTTTACACTATTTAACTGTCAACTATATCGTCGACACACTGCGAAAACATGGAATAAAAAAAAATTACTTACCTGTAGGAAAGCGAGGCATAAATGCTTATGTAAAATGCAAATATTACATAGTTTCCGTAAAACATAAAATGTGGTATCATCTGTTACAAATTCCAATGTAAAGCCGGGTTCTCACTAGCGAGTTTGCAACCTTAACGTTGCATGTTATAATGTTGCATTTTGAAGGGTGCTGGTGAAATTACAGGCACATGGGACTTTCAACTTATGTCTGAGAGTCGTATTCTAGATCTCTACTCAATGCCCAAGTCAGGACTTGAGTATGATTCAAAGCACTAGAAATCATACTCAAATCCGTGCCATTAGGGTCGTATTTCCAGTGCTTGAAGCCTACTCAGGTCTGCTCAAATCCTAACTTGAGCATTGAGTAGAGTTCTGGAATACGACTCTAAGAGTGACGGGCGCAGTGGCAGTAATCTTTGCGTCAGAGCATACAAGCACTACTTGTTTGCCGCGTCATTTGGTATTATAAAAAAATCGATCCGGTTTTTTCGTATAACATTTTTGTTGATATTTTTATTAACTATTAGGTTTTCTAATAGGTGGCTACATATTGTACATTTTTAATAGGTCTAGTCATAGGACATAGGTAAACCAAGCTCTATAGTAAAGTCTTCAAACACTTGTTAGAAGCACACAGATATGTAAAATCCGAGGATTATTGTACATTATGGTAAACAAATAAACAGATAACACTCAAACCTTAATAAATTCTTAACTTATCAACGTTTTATAATGCAGGCAATAAAGATATGAATTAATATTTATAATTGATTATACATAATTATGTATAATATCGTGTTTTCATATATATGTTCAAAATTACTGAATTACTCCTTGTCGAATTTATATCATTCTGTAAATATTCATAATTTTTTTATTAAAATAGTTTCATATAAGGTACTTTAGAAATTTTAGAATTGAGGAACATAACATTGAGTGAGTACAAATGATACGATGCAGCCTGAATTACACACAAGTAATTGTGTCATACATTTGCCTGTCGTCTTTCGTGCAACCTTTGAACCTTATTTCGATTGCACATTGTACAGCACATCAAGCTACACACGCCTTTGTTCGAATGTCGCGTCCCAGAGCATCTGAATATGATCCATCCATCAATAATTTATTCATTAACAACATACATAATTGTGCTTGAACATCATGGATTTAATTAAAATACAGATTCAAATTAGAAATTAAAATAAAATGGTGAATTACTTAACAATAATATTTTTTTTTATATAAAATATAGGTGCGCATTTGACCTCCATCTCACCTGATGGAAAGTGACGATGAGGTCGATGATGGAGCATGCACACCTAAATAATTCCCATTCACTCTCACCTTGAAAAGGTCTAAGTTATATGAGGATCTTTGCCCATCGTTTTGACTGTACAATTTTAAAGTTTTGGGTAAACATTTCAACTGGTCAAATTGAGTAATAATTGTGCATTTTACAAATTTCAATATTTAAATTTTCTGTCAATATCTCAAAATTCAATGTAATCATACTAACATAGTTCTAAGGTTTTCTTTTGTAACTAACACCATTATCTTATGGGCTATGGAATATCCACAACATAGGGGTGGAAGCCAAGCCTACGCCTAGTCCCCCGGTAATGGAAAGGGGAAGGCGGAATTAAATCGTGTAATTCCATCGCACACTCTCCGTGATATGTCGTGTAAAATACCGACAAGCAGGCAACTTTACGGCGGTGTTCAATTCCGAGTCACCTATAAGCCTCTTGGCACGGTTGTCAATTGAATCCAAAGTGCCCAGTTGATATGTAGCAGAGCCATCCCAGAGGTGGCAGCAGTACTCCATGCACGATCGGACTTGTGCTTGGTACAGCTGAAGCAACTGTCCCGATGTAAAGTAACGCCTCACCCTGGAAAGGATCCCAAGCTTCCTTGCTGCATTTTTGGCCATGGATTCAATGTATCTGCCGAAGTTCAAATTGGACGACAGGTCCATTCCAAGTAGCTGGAGACAATCGGCTATCAGTATGGATATATCACGTAAAGTCGGAGTCAGCTCAAAGGGACTCCATTTTGTGGAGAATAGACACGCCTGCGTTTTGGTAGCGTTAAATTTGACCAGATTGGCATCGCCCCAATCGGAGACTGCCTGGAGTGTTAAATCTAAATGGCTAACCATGGGCTCTCGACAAGACTGGATTTCCACTCCACTGACCCTTGCATTGGTCTAGTACCTATCTACAACTGTGCTGTCATCTGCATACGCAAAGGTACCGGGAATTAACATATCATTGATATGCAGCAGAAAGAGTTTTGCAGACAGTATGGAACCCTGACGAACTCTCTATCTATCGAATCTATCGCCATATGTTCGGAAGAGTCGCCTTCTAAGACCACTCGAATCAGAAGTTCGCTCAAGAATTCCGAGATCCAATTGCAAAGGTCAGTGGGAAGCCCATAAGAGGGACGCTTACTTAAAAGGCTTGCGTGTCAGACCCTGTCAAAGGCTTTAGAAATGTCCAAAGACACTGCAAGCGCGTCGCCTTTCTTTTTACAGCCTCGCTCCATATATGACAAGCATACACAAGAAGATCCCCAGTAGATCGCCCTCGTCGGAATCCGTAAAAATATCAGGACAGAAGTATATAAAATAATAATTATGAGTCAAAATGAACAATAGAACACAATCAATTAAAAAACTAAACATAAAAAATATAACAATAAATCAATTTATAAAATGTACAACAAATTTAAAAGTTTTCTACGGAGTAACAGCATTTTTGTAATAATAAATCTCTCAACCTATTTTTAAGTAGTTTTATGTCGGTATTAATCTTAAATTGTGCATAAAATAATTTCTCGGATTGATGTGGGGGACGACGGTGCGCCGCAATATTTAATTTAAGCTCAAATAACATTTTTAAAATTCTTTATTCTAGTGGCCTCTCACGGAATTTGCTCTTCATTTGTCTTAAAGTTTCTTTTTCCGCTTTAAATTCAATATGTAGTAATAAGCTTTTGACATGTTGGCGCCTGTACTTACAAATATAATTAAATTTATTTATTGTAAAAGATACATAAATATCAGATATAAAGTTGTGCCAAGCTCCTAAGCTATGGTATGGTGTGACTGTCCTGAACTTGTGAGGCAACTTGTATAGTAGATTGTACGGACAACGGCACATCAGACTACACATTTTTGTTCGAAAATTGCCGCCGGTGCAACGGAACAAGATAGGTCAATGTTTGACATTGCTTGATGCTTTGTGTGATGAAGCACACAAAGCTTGAAGTGCTGGCGTGTGTACATACAAACGGGGTTACATAAGATTGAGCTCTATTGGGCTCTTATTGCGCCTTGATTTCTGTGTGTTCTGCTTCACAAAACGCTTCATTTTACCCGAGATGAGTATGTACCTAAGTCGAGGGTAAAATGGGTTTTATGAACGAGTTTTTCGTTTTTCACTTCGATTGCGAGGAAATTAAACAGCAATATTATAAAAAAACGATTATTTATTTAAAATTGCATGTAAAATTACGACAATTAGACATTTTTTTATTTTATGCACTACAGCACAAAATCCTATTTTATGCAGCCTACATCCAGCATAAATACGAACTTTAAGAGCATGAGAAGTGAAAAGGTTATTTGTCCCAGACGTCCCTAAAATAGTTAGTAGTTCTCAGAGTTAGGCGTCGTGAACTATTCGCAGTGCCTTCAGCATTACAGTATTCCCGTAGAATAGCCACTGCTCCTTGCTCTCACAATGCTCAACGAACTCTTGGTATCGGCACCGGCACGAAACTAAATAAGATATTTAAAAAAACTGATAAAACGGTGTTCCAGAACTCATTTCGCTGACTTCATTAAGCGGCACGCCTATCCATAACATTTGCAGTGCCACTCAGAGCTTTAAATCGCAAAGATGTTAGGGGCATTGCCACTGCGCCCATCCATAAGTTGACGAGACCCATGTACCTGTAATTTCACCAGCACCCTTACCCTTTCAAACCGAAACGCAGTAATGCTCACATTACTGCTTGGCGGCAGAAATAGGTAAGGTGGCAGTACTTCTATGGACGAACTCTTTCACAAGGAGCTCTACTGCATAGCTAACGTATTTAAAATTATTGACAGAAAAAGAGGTTACCATAACACAAGTGCTTTAGGTATCAAAGCAACGTATGTGATATTGTCTAATATTTAATTTATTTTAATAAATACCCTTTATTATTGTTAATAGCGCTATCATCTTTGGTTTCCAGGTAGGAGCAAAAGTGAAGAACCTCAAAGCCGGCGACCGTGTTGCGATCGAGCCGGGTGTACCATGCCGATACTGCGAATTCTGCAAGACCGGACGGTACCACCTGTGCCCCGACATCGTGTTCTGTGCTACTCCGCCTGTTCACGGCAATCTCTGCCGTTATTATAAACATGCTGCTGACTTTTGTTACAAGTGAGTCTTGTATACTTTCACTCTTCAATACTTTGCCGGGTATCCAGTTGTACAGAATTTCTGAATGAATGAACAGATACCATTTTAACACACGTGGACCATCCTCGTCCTTATGTATATACAGATTTCGGCGAATAAGATTTCAGAATCTGAAAATAATAACACTCATCACTATCATATCAGCCGGAAAACATTCACTGCTGAACATAGGCCTCCCCCAAAGATTTCGAGACTAATCGATCGGACGCGGCGTGCATCCATTGGTTACACGCCGACCTTACCAGTAAAATAATAATAAATAAAAATATTATGGTTACTTTGCGGATGTTGACCGTCAGCTCTTTGCGTCCTTCGCTAAATCTTCCAATCTTTTTTTATAGTATCAAGTGACGAGACAAACAAGTCGTGCGCCTGATGGTAAGCAACACGTCTGTTCATAACAGTTGCAGTGCCACTCAGAGCTTTAAATCGCAAAGATCTGAGGGGCACTGCCACTGCGCCCGTCACCGAGGTATAAGTTGACAAGTCCCATGTGCCTGTACTTTCCCTAGCACCCTTAAAACCGGAACACAGTAATGCTAACATTACCGCTTGGCGGCTGAACTAGGTAAGGTGGCAGTACTTTCCTGGAACAACTCTTTCACAAGGAGCTCTACAGCTGCTAAAATCTACGTAGTTGCCAGTTTAAATTGTCGTCCTACCTGTCAATAATTTTAAATATACTAACCTTAAACTTCTTCCAGATTACCAGATCACGTAAGCATGGAAGAAGGCGCCCTTCTGGAACCTCTGTCTGTCGGAATCCACGCCTGCCGTCGGGGTGGCGTGGCAGCTGGAGACACAGTGCTGGTGCTTGGCGCAGGGCCCATTGGACTTGTCACTATGCTAGCTGCCAAAGCCATGGGAGCTGCTAAGATCCTTATTACAGGTGAGCTGGTCAGGAGTTGATGATGCACCTCACTTATTGCGCGGGGAATAATAAGAAGACTAAAATTTGTGTAAACGTGTGTGTTAAAACAAGCAGTTTTATAGTTAAGAAAAACAATCTACAATCTTTCAGACATCCTTCCGTCTCGCCTGGAATTCGCAAAGCAGATAGGAGCTGATCACACTCTGTTAGTGACAAGAGAGTCGAATGAAGCTGACCTTGTTAAAAAAGTCCATGAGCTGTTGGGCGGACATCCTGATATCTCGATTGATGCTAGCGGGGCTCAAGCCACTGTGCGGTTGGCTTTGTTGGTAAGCAACGATCTACTAGAACTATCCTTCACTTTTTTGAGTGTAGGAAATTCCTTTGATACCTTCGGAGCTTCTATTTTTTTTCTATCATGAGCAAAGATTGACAGCACGCATTAGCAATATCAATGATTGATGCTTGATTTATATAGCATACAACTCTTACTTATAGCTACAAAAGAAACCACATACGATTATGCCATTTAAATTACATAAGCTTCACTTGGGAGCGAACAAACAATGAGAGATTTATTCCATTACAGTTGCAGTGTTACTCAGAGTTTTAGATCGCAAAGATCTAAGGGGCATTGCCAATGCGCCCGTCAGTCACCCTGTGACAAAAATTGACACGTCACATGTACCTGTAATTTCACCAGCACCCTTACCCTTCGAAACTGGAATGCAGTAATGTTCATATTACTGCTTGGCGGTAGAAATAGGTAAGGTAGCAGTACTTCCCTGGACGAACTCTTTCACAAGGAGCTCTTCAAAATATCTAGAGATCATGATAATGTCACCCAACGACACCCCAGTACTTTAGTAGCAGTAGAAACTCTGAGTGGCACTGCAACTGTTATGGACAGGCGTGTAGCTTACCAACAGGCACACGACTTGTTCGTACCGTCACATAATGACAGCGCGTGAGTGGACAGTGGTGCAGGCTGTAGCTCGTGCCACATTTACGGTACGCTGTGCGCTGTCACTGGGTAGGGTTAGCGTTGTTTTGCGCATTGGGTAATCTCACTCGCCCGCGTCCGCTACTGCCCGTTTTTATATGGAAGCGATATGGCTTACAGTGGTGAGGCATGAGAATTGTCGTTGGTAAAGCTGAGGTAAAACAAGAACCAACAAAAAGTAGCTATTCGATAATTTTTAAATGCAACACTTATTAGCACACAAGTTGCTAGTACACTTCATTTCACTGGTTAAGATATTTTACACCTAAAATTGAGCACAAAATATAGTAAATTAAATTACTTCAAAATATTTATAATATTTAATAATACGCAAGCTGATGGGAATCGTGTTATATGGACGCTTCGCCACTGATGGCTTGTATTAAACATAAACCTAATCAAGAATAGCATTATAATAATTTGCTCCTGCGCAGGCAACCAAATCCGGCGGCGTGGCAGTGCTTGTAGGCATGGGCAGCCCAGAACTGACGGTGCCGCTGGCTGGAGCGGTGGCACGCGAGGTGGACATACGCGGGATCTTCCGATATGTTAATGAGTACCTACATTCCTTTTACGTTACAGTTTATTGTTATTATTATTCCATATTAAAGAGGAATTTTACATAATGTAAACTACTTCCAGGGCATTGATTAGCGCCACCTAGATAAAAACGGAATTTTGACCTTTTTCTTACTTACGGTCTGTTGTATGGAAATTAGCTGTCCTCTAGATTTATTGGTTCATGTCACTAGTGACAGTATCTTTAATGTATCGTTTTCTTTCATTCTTACGTGAAACCTTTTTAAACAGGTACCCAATAGCCCTGTCCTTGGTAGCAAGTGGGAAGATCGACGTAAAGCCTCTTGTGACCCATCACTATACCCTGGAAGAAACCCTTGAAGCTTATGAGGTCGCGAGACAGGGCCTTGGCATTAAAGTCATGATCCACGTCCAGCCCAGAAATGCCAATAATCGTATCAAATTTTAATTTATAAATAATGACAAGAGCCTGATTACTAAGATTGATTTTACAATGTGCAAATGTAGACTAAGACAAAAATGTAAATTCTTATTTGAATAGATATGTATCATCATCATTTGAAAAGTACAATTATAATATATTTTATTATTATTTTTATAATAAAAAATATGGTGAAAAGTTACAACTTATTGTTTTCTTTTGTTATTTTAGTACCTTTTATTCCCAGAGGTAATTTTTATACGATAAGTGACGGGACGAACCACGGCCGTTCTACAGCAATGAGCGCCTGACGTTGACAAACCGGCGCCTTTTTTATCTTGCTAGGCAGTCCGCGGGTCGTCTGCAGTGGAAATATGTCTGGACGAAAGACGGCCGGATTTACGTAAGGAGGGGCACCGGAGCCCGTGCTCATCGAATGCGATGTGAATCCGATTTGGTGAAGACTTTTGGTCCCTATGCAGTTTGTTCCCCACCACCAGAAACTGGATTACAATAATCGCTATAATATGTGTATACAGTTTAATTTTTTATATTATGTTGGATCTTTTATTACTTATGATGTGTCGTCATGTGGGTGGCTGTGCAATAGTCGCAAAATATTTAAAATTTATCTACTTGGTACTTGGTGTAACGGGCTAGTGTCCGCAACTCGACGTCAAGGCGCCTATTTTGCGTGTAAAATTTATCTATATAGTATATACTATTAATTTACTTTGTTATACTTTATTTTTATTTTTATACTCTCATATATTTATTGCTACAGCTAACTACACATTTACATGTATACAAACATTACATTTTATTATAAAAACTCAATATCTGCAATATTTTAACAAACTCAATTTTCAACATGCATTACACTCTAATTACATGTATACAAGAAAACTCCGACACACACGAAACTCTGACATAAAATACAACACACTATTACACAGCAAAATGGACTTTTTAATCATTTCATCAACATATTATCTTTCAATCACGATGGGAATTACTATTACTTTATTATCATCGTCTGAAAATTGTTTACTACAAATGTCTATTCTAAATATCTACATTCAATTTAAAACGTAAATTTAAGTTAGGATTTTTAAACGTGGGCTCACTAGGTACTCGCCACGATGAATTTATAGTCGCCATGGAGCGACATGAAGTAGATATCATGGCAATAAATGAGACTTGGTTGAGGGACGGTGAAGAGGGCCGCGCGCCGTTCGGTAACTGGCTACCGATTGCGTCATATTCCCCGCCCGCCCGCTGTGCGCTCGCGCGGCGGTGGGGTTGGGTTCTATATACGACGAGGCGTTGTTGTCCGTACACTAACTCATCCACCGGCTCCGCTTGTTGAGCAAATGTGGTTATGCGCAAATGTCAATGGGAAAAAGTTACTGGTGTGTACTGCATACAGACCGCCTTGGCTTAACGTAGATATATTTATAGATGCTTTGGCTGAGAGTTTGAGTTGTTTATCATGGTGTAATAATGTAGTATTGTTAGGAGACTTTAACATTAACCTCTTGAATATTACAGATAGTAACACCAAAAAGATATTAGACTTTCTGACAAGCCACACATTGAACCAATATGTAACTAAGCCAACGCATTTCACACAGTATAGCGAAACACTCATTGACACCATAAGCACCGACGTGGACAATACTGTGGTAAAAGTTCACTATGTACCCGAGCTGAGTCGACATGCGTTTATCACCTGCACGTTAAATATCATGAAGGCAAAACAGGTACCAATACGGATAATTCGCAGAAATCTTCATACTATCGACTATGAACAGTTCAATGTGGATCTGTCTACCATAGATTGGATGAGTGTAAGCCGCATAGAGGATATCAATGACATGGTGAGGCAATTCAGTGGACGTTTGGTGGGGTTATTTGATGTTCATGCACCCCTTCGGATGTTACATGTCACACAGCGCCAGTACCCGTGGATTACCTATAACGTGAAACAACTTATGAAACGTCGTGATGAGGCACATACTGCAGCACGGACCAGCGGCAATGACTCGCAAAAGTCTTATTATAGGGATCTAAAAAAATTGTCAATGAAGTATTGACAACTGAAAAAAATGCTTATTATAAATAAAAAAAAAAGATTCTCGAGTGTTATGGGCACATATAAAAAAAATGTTAACATAAAAAGAAAACCGGAGCTACCTACACACATCTTTAACGATCCTGACTTAATCAACGACCATTTTCTAAATGTGCCCGGTAGTCTACAGACATCACAATCAAACATGACATATTTTAAGCAAAATTGTAATATCACCACAAAATTATCACTTAAGACAGTAGAAGAAATTGAAGTCCTCCAAATCATATGGTCATTGAAGTCAAACGCGGTTGGTCTCGATGGGATTTCACTGGACATGTTGCTGTTGTCTTTGCCTGTCATACTACCTGTTATTACGGCTATGGTGAACAGATCTATTGAAACCAATACGTTCCCAACGGACTGGCAGCATGCAGTCATACGGCCCATTCCTAAAAGTAATAACCCATCCACCTTGAGAGATATTCGGCCTATAAGCATACTGCCTTGTGTATCGAAGGTCCTGGAGTCACTTGTGGTAAAACAAGTAACAGACTTTCTAGAAAGTAACGAAATCCTTCCCACCGTACAATCTGGATTTAGAAAAAAACATAGTACGACAACCGCTATGATCAAAGTAGTTGATGACATCCTATCCGCACAAGACAATGGACAGGGCACCTTGCTGACGGTACTGGACTTCTCTAGAGCCTTCGACTGCATTGATGTTAACCTGCTACTATCTAAATTACATTACTATGGATTTGCTGACTCCACAATCAAATGGTTCGACAGTTATCTGCAAAACCGATCTCAGTGTGTCGAAATTTCTGATCAGAGTGGTTCTAAATTACTATCGAAAACACGTGACGTCACGCGCGGAGTGCCACAAGGTTCAATTTTAGGCCCTATACTCTTTATAATCTACAGCGCGGATGTGATAAATCAAATTAAATTCTGTAAGTATCATATGTACGCTGATGATATACAGATTTATATATCATGCAAGCCATGTGATACTCTTGATTCTGTGAATAAGTTAAACGAGGATTTAGAACGAATAGCGTTATGGCAGAATCAAATGCGTTAGTGCTAAATAGCAGTAAATCCAAATATATGGTGCTAGGTACAAGAAAGCAAATAGTGAAAATTGAAAGTCGTAATGTTACTCTAGCGATCAGGGGCGAAAACATTGAGCGAGTTAGTGAGGCTCGGAATCTTGGTCTCCTTATGGATGAAACGCTCCATTTTGAGAACATTGTGTTAGGCATCGTCAGAAATTGTTTTTATAGGTTAAAGGTATTATATAACATCAGGAATTACATTAATGCTGACATTCGCATTAAATTGTGTGACTCATTAGTTCTCTCACAATTTAATTATATGGATGTGGTGTATGGACCGCGGCTGTTGAAGCGCACACAACAAATAATACAGCGAGTGCAGAACGCCTGCGCAAGGTTTTGTTTTAATATACCACCACGCACGCACGTAACCCCTTACATAAACAACGCTAATATTTTAAAGATGAAAACGCGAAGAGATCTGCACTTGGCTACACTTCTCTTTGGGGTTATAAAATACAGAGTCCCGTCTTATCTGGCTGAGGAGTTGGTGTGGTCTCGCGACGTGAAGGCAGCGTTCACTAGAGCGTCAGCTTGGTCGCTAGTCCTGCCGCGCTGTCGCACCGCCGCGTTCCGCGGCAGTTTCAAATTCGCCGCAGCGAAGATATGGAATGTACTGCTGCCGCCGCCGCTCCGTAGTCTGCAATCAGTGCACACGTTCAAAAGCAAATACAAACATCTTTTAGACATTAAAAAAAAACCGTATAAGATTACATGGGCTCTTACCGCACTGTTATTCGACTTAAGGCATTGGTGCGCGGTGGACATCGTCATCATTGTTATGCGGGATACGGCAAGCAATATAATATAATAAATTAGATTATTTATTTTCCCTGACAAATGTTATTACTTATTACTATTTTTCATTGTTAATTTTTTATTAACCAATTATCATTTAATTTTTTTTTTCTTTTTTTAAACTTTTATTCAATATACAATTCATTGCAATAACATTATTCATGATAATCTGTAATGTTTAGTAGTTATACAGTTTGCCTCTTATGGCATCGGAGACTGCACGCTATTATGCGAGCTAATTACCTACGAGACGCAGGACAAAACCTGTTTAGTGTTTGCAATGGAGCGGGCTGCACTTTTGTTGGCTCGTGAGGTCAGTATTCCGTGCTCGTAAGCCGGGTACCCCTCCCGCGCGCCTACCCTCTCTTCTTGCGTAGTACACGTGACACAAATCTCACAATCGGTTTCATTTTAATCTAAATAAGTTCTATTTTGTTTGTTGTAAATGTTGGACACTACATTACATACACTTATCACTTTATATATGTATCAAAATCATTATTTAATTATTCTATACATATAACTGAACACAACACACTACATTATAGAAATATTTATGTAATTCATTTAAGTTTACTCGTATATTCGCGACACACACGTCCGGTACTCACTCGGTTTTAGGGCCCACTGAAAATCAGCGTCACAGCCTTTTCTCGGTGGTGACAATAGCTGAGTGGGATCCTGTTACATACGCCACAGCCACCCACATGACACTTAATCTAATTGTGTTAAATATTTCATGTTTGCTTTGTTGTTGTTCTATGATTTTATTTTTATTCCTTTTTTTCCAGTAATTTTTTTTTTAATTTTTTGTTTCAATGTAGCTTCATCTTTTTTTTTATCTTCATTTTATTACTGTGTATATTTTTGTTGTGGCGTAGTAATAAAAGATTTCTATTATATTCTATTCTTTTCTATTCTAAAATCGGAACGCAGTAATGCTCATATTGGACTACGACTCTTTCACAAGGAACGGACAAGGACTCTTTGACAGGGAACTCTGCCTATATTAACTCATTGTTACAATTTGACAAAGTATACCTATTTATAATTCAAAACACAAGACACGTTAATACTACACAGTATTTTTTGTATTGAAACATATAAGGACTATGTTGATAGTGTGGCACGTGGACGTGGACGGGGCGTGCTAGTTTGTATGAACTGCGGGGACGTGGACGGGGCGTGCTAGTTTGTATGAACTGCGGGGACGTGGACGGGGCGTGCTAGGTTGTATGAACTGCGGTCCGTCCCGGCGCGTGTGGATAAGTTCATACAAAATATACGCAACGATATTTTTTTAAGCCCCTGACGGAACACGGCCCGTCCACGTTCCGGACTCGTCCCGGATATGTGTGGATAGACCTTTATTGATCTATGTAGACAAGCAAGGTAAAAATACAATGAAAACTTAAAAACTACGATATTCGTAATGATGACTACTAATATAAAATAGTACATTTTTTATCGAGGGACTAAAACGAGTCACTACATAGCCGAGATGGTTAGTCTTAGCCCGACCTTTAGCGAGGGTGTCTATTGCTCCGAGGGTTTATAATTTGCCTTCCAGTCTTGAGGTGAAAACTTTACTTTTCACCGCGATTGCGAGAGAAAAGAAATCAATCGTTTACGCTCTACAATAAAATTACGAAACAAAATGTTGAAGTTTTCGTATTTTTTTCCTAACCAGACACAGACACAACAAACGCAACAAAACGCCACGTTTAACGGTCTTTCCGTCTTCCGAACGATTTAAGTATAACGTCGCGTCACTAAAATGGTCCATACACAAACGCACTAACGCAGTATATAGTCTTAGAACGTAACATTTTCATTATGAAATTGGTCCACACACAAGCACTTTTTTTATTAAATTTCGGCAGCGCAGCGATCGATCAACATTGCTACAAGGAGTGATATAAAGTGGTTAAAACAAGCAAAGGTTTGTTTTGACTAATGCAGATATTTTAGATACTTTAATATTCACAATACAATACAAATATTCTGTATTGCACACGGACATATACATAATAACAATACAACAAAAAGTAAAAATTACAGGTACAACAGGCGGCCTTATTGCTAAGTAGCAATCTCTTCCAGGCAACCTTCGGGTTACAGGAAAAACAGTAAGATAAAATTATTTGAGGCAACAGAATACACATATTGCTACATATACAAATGAAGAAGAAAATGGTATAATAAAAATACTAAATAAATAACTAAATTAAATAAAATAATAAATAAATAATGTATGTATATCTATATTATATATAAAGCTACAAGTTCTTACTCACTGACAGAAATAGCATACTTCCCGATATGGTGGAAAAAAATATTTATACCGTTGTACGTGGATAGGCTCCAAAGTAAAGAATCAAATATGAGATGACCTGAATATGGAAAATATGAAGGAGTGATCAACGGCCTGCAAAAACTATAATATATGGAGTGAATATTTGTGCATTTTTATGAAGTACACCCTGGTCAATTTCCACGGGAAGTAAAAAATGTTCGAAATTCAAATAAACAAGATGGCCGCCATACAAATTTCAAAGCCCCCTATCACGGAAACTATTAGGGATAGGTAGGAGGTGCTTGAAGGAATGTCATAGAGGGTAACCTGGTCAACTGCCTGGGTCAAAAAAAATCAAGATGGCGATTTCAAAATGGCGGCCGAAGAAAAATTTGCTTCGATCCGGCTGAAAATTTGCTTGCAAGGGTCTTTAGGAGTCCTTAATCATAATTTGGGCTCAAAAGTTGCTTTTCGCCATTTTTTAATATGGCTGCCATATAAGTGTTTTTTTTTCGTTAAAAAAAGCTGCCGATAAAGATTTTCTCAGATTCTGCTGAAAATTGGCACGTGAAGGCCTTTAGAAGTGCCGAATAATAATTTGTGCTGAAAATATGTTTTTCGTCATTTTCAAATATGGCCGTCATAGAAGCGTTCGTTGACGGCAGAAAAAAAATTGCTCAGACCTCTTTGAAAATTGGCAAATGGGGGTCTCTATGAGCGCTTGATAATAATTTGTGATCAAAATTGGTGTTTCGTCATTTTTGAATATGGCCGCCAAACAAGCGTTTATAAAAATTACCTCTTATTCAACTGAAAATCGGTATATGGAGGTCTATAGGTTTTTGATAATATATGCGGTCAAAATTTATTTTTCGCCTTTTTTCAATATGGCGTTAAGCGTTTATAAAAATTAGCTCTTATTCAACTGAAAATCGGTATATGGAGGTCTATAGGTTTTTGATAATAATATGCGATCAAAATTTATTTTTCGCCTTTTTTCAATATGGCTGCCATACTAACTCTTTTAGCGGCAGATAAAAATTTGCTCCAATTCGATTGACAATGGACATGTCGGGCGTCTCTATGAGTGTTTAATAATAATTAGCGGTCAAAATTTACTTTTCGCCATTTTTCGCTATGGCTGTCATACAAACATTTTTGGCGATAGATAAAAATGTCTTCTAATTCGACTGAAAATGGCTTGGCTTCAATCGTAATTTGGGGTAAAAATTTTGTTTCCGCCGTTTTTCGATATAGCCGTAATTTTTTATGTAAATGGCTGTTGTGAAAACTTGCTGTGCTCGGACTGAAAATTGTCACGAAAAGATTTCTAAGATTGTTTGATAATAATTAGTGGTGAAAATATATTTTCGCAATTTTTAAATATGGGCGCCATTAAAGATATATTTAATTTTTTTTTAAACAAAGTCGTAAGTGCCGATGCCATAGGCTGAGGTCCGAGGAGGGCGAAGCCCGAAGCGTCTGCACGCCATCGCATGGAGGTAATTTACGAAGGCACAATGGATTAAGAGTACAAGATCTCAAATTGTAAAAATGTAAGGCATACTTCCAAGGCGTTGTTGTATCTCAACCGTCTCTCTGTTAGATTCCATTCTCCAGTATTTAGTGGGAAAAATGCCAAACTACTGCCGAATTTCCTGTAGTATAAATACCAAAACAACGATAACCCAGAATACTCAGACCTCAGAAATGTTCGTTTCTTAAATTGGGAAAATCGATTCAGGAAGGGAATTCCACAGTTTGATGCTTCTAACCTTGAAGGAGTTAGAGTTAGAATAAAAGTAAGAAGAGTGGATAGGACAGTTTAAAGAAAGAGTGATAGAAGACCGTAAGGTGCGACTGAGTGTAGTGCTATGATACACGAAACAATCTTTGAGGTAGGGAGGAGAGGTGGGATTAAAGAAAACAGAGTATAGAAGGGATAAAAAGCGAAAATCCCTACGACGACGAATGGGTAACCATCCGAGTTTGGATTTACGCAACCCAAAAATGAATCTAAAGCATAGGTTCTGCAACCGCTCCAGCTTATTGAGTAGACCCTTAGACAAGTCTGGATAACAAGCATCCGCATAGCCTAGAATAGGCAGAACTGACTAATTTTAGTCGGAATGGGTAAAAAATTGCCCAGACGTCGAAGTGACATGTAAGCACCAAACATCCTCTTAATAACCTCAGTGACCTGAGGTTTCCAAGTTAAGCTCTTATCAAAAGTAACCCCAAGGTTCCTAACGGTGTCCCGTATAGGGATTTGAATACCATCGAATAAGATGGAAGGCAATGAGCCATGGTCGATGCGCGATATGAACCGGGGGCTGCCAATAATTATACTCTGGGTCTTGATAGGATTCACTCTTGAGACCAAACGAATGACTCCAAGCGAGAGTCCCCTCAAGATCCCTGTTAGTATTACTAATGGCATTGGGTAAGGCAATTAGCGTGGCCTGTGAATAAATCATCTTGAATATAAAAACTGTAATTACTTCATAATCCTACTTCAAGCTTTTTAAATGAATAATTTTATCCTACGATGCGTTAAAACTATTTCCAGAAATCCGGGATTCGTAACAGTAATTAATTAATATTTGGTGGTCTTAGTGTCGTATTCCAGAACTCTACTTAATGCTCAAGTCAGGATTTGAGCAGACTTGAGTATGATTTCAAGCACTGGAAATACGATCCTAATGGCAAGGACATGAGTATGATTTTCAGTGCTCACTGCAATACTCAAGTCCTGACTTGAGTATTGAGTAGAGTTCTGGAATACGACCCTTAGCCACTCCATGTCATTCCCTGAAGCTATATGGAGACATATATCTACCAAGCGTATTTTTTAATTTGGAACACCCTACTCCGACCATTGGTTATAGTTATAACCATAGATATAGGATTAACAAATATTCGAATAACATCTTTATTGTATTGCTCGATTTCAATATAATAGGGTGGCAACAAATGCGCACGCTAGATGATTGTTCGATATTGTAAATAATAATAATAACCTCCTTTCACAAATCACAGGACTTATCAGAGGAAAATTATCTCGTGACCTTAATATCAGCGGCGTAAACGACGCGATTAGTTCGATTTCTCAGCTATGGTAATCCGACCCTGACACAGCGCAGCTATTAAAATGTAAAGTCAACAAAAAAAGAGAATTCCTTACAATATTTTGTAAATAAATGTAGCCGACGAAAACAAACTGAAATTTACAGAACAGGTACTTAGGCAACCTTCCATTTTCAGACTTATACAAATGAATATACACATAAGTCCTTGAAGCAAGTGTTTGCCAAATTCTATGAGTTTTTTATCTCCTATAACACCCTGTTTCCCAATAATAATAAAAAACATAAGCCTCAACGTTGCTAGGTCAATTGGCAGAACTGTAACCACGTCGTGGCGACAGACGCTGGTTCAGTCGGATCGAAGGAATTTTCTTTGTGTTTGTTCAATCTTTATATTAATATTATCGGTATTTAGAAACTACAACTTTAAAAAAATAATAGTTAAAACGCTCAATCGTAAAACTATCACACAAAACACTAGACACGACAGACATTTTTTTTATAATATCAAGTGATAGGACGAACAAGTTGTGTGCCTGGTAAACTACCCGCCTGTCCATAACAGTTGCTGTGTCACTCAGAACTTTAAATCACAAAGATCTGAAGGTCACTGCCACTGCGCAAGTCACCTTGAGATATATATAAGTCCCGTGTGCCTGTAATTTCACCAGTATAGCATACTTACCCTTCAAAACCGGACCGCAGTAATGCTTACATTACTGCTTGTCGGCAGAAATAGGTAAGGTGGCAGTACTGCCCTGGATGAACTCTTTCACAAGGAGCTCTATAACTAATTTTACTCTACTTTTTTCAAATACAGATTGGTCCCAAATAGATGGTTGATTACATAAATCATTACCTTATTTAAGCTAATTTCATTTCTTAATGTTATTGTATATTTACATGCTTTTGTTTGAGGCTGAATAGGATAAGGTATCCAATTTTTTTAACCCAAACAAATGCGCTTTTTTACCTCCATCTCACCTGATGGAAAGTGATGATGAGGTCGACGATGGAACATGCAAATCTAAATAATGCCTATTCACTCTCGCCTTGAAAGGCCAAGTTATAGCGTTCAGGGAATTCATGTCATGCCATGGGAATTTGATTTTACCATGAATATTTATGGCACCTCCGTGTTTAAAACCTAATTAAAAAAAGTTAAGAACGCTCTAGTGCGTTGTTAATGGATTTTAATGCAACAACAACACATCAGATATTAATTCTTTGATAAGAAATGGCACGGAATAATATGGAAGAGTTAAAAAAAATTTGATAAAAAAATTTGTTTTCATAATTTGTGTATAGTACAACTTTTTTTCTTAATGTGTCTCGGCAACCTTCGTGTTTGTGCTATAGTGGAATTTCTATCAGTTGTTTTTTGCACTTGGTGCACACCGAGCGCACTCGGTCGTCTTCGAGTATATAAAGTAACTACTCGAAGACTACTAGTAACTACTTGTAGTAAACATTTATATTACTGCCGTAAAATTTCTCTGGGTTTACTATAGTAGATAATAATATTAGCAAAGATTTATCTCTATATTGCATATTTACATTACATAAGTTTGTTTATACGAAGATTATTTTATCGACTTAATTACCTCTTTGCGTAGCTATTTCGTTCCGCAATTGTCATTTGAGAAGAAAACATTCAATGAATTATGTCTGAAAACATAGCTGCCGTACTTCGGGGACCATACGATGTCAATGTTGTAAGTAACCACTCATTTTAGGTACCCATTATCTCAAACACAAAATGTCATGATTCCGTATTACTTAAAATAATATACAATATTTTTTTACATCCCAAATTACAATGATAATTATTTGTAAAAGAATACGTGGTAAAACGTAATAAAATTATAATAGATGCAATGCAAAATATCGTGGAAATCCGGGAATTATTTAAATTTATGAACTATTTTCAGGAAAAATGGCCAATGCCCGAGATAAATGAAAACGGTAATTATTCCTATATTCAATATCTTTGGTGGTATGTGTTATTCAGAGGAACGGCAAGAAAGAAGGCCCAATGTTTACTAATTTGGACACAAATCTTCCGGTACATAACGTAGTGTTACGCTTCCACGTTTACATGGCGAACGGCTATGGAGTGGAATTTCCTGCCCGCAGACTTGTTCCCTGAACGTTATAACTTCGACCTTTTCAAGGCGAGAGTGAACAGGCATTATATAGGTGGGCATGCTCCATCGTCCCTTTTCATCAGGTGAGATGGAGGTGAAATGCGCACTTTCATTTTAATTAAAAAAATACGGGCACATGGGACTTGTCACTTTTTATGTCTCAGCGTCACCACGAGACGCACGACTTATTCGTCGCGTTACTTGTTATTAAAAAAAAAAACAGCTTTAGTATATGAAACCATATGAACCCATGAATTTTTTTTTAAATACAATAGGATACTAATTAAATAGCTATTACTAACATTTCAGAGGTTCTAATAAAGATGTCTTGCGTGGGCATCTGCGGTTCAGACGTGAAGTTCTGGTCAACAGGCAGATGTGGCATGGAAACTATCGTCGAGCCCATTGTGATGGGCCACGAGGGCGCAGGTATAGTTGTAAAGGTAGGTAAGCAAGTAGCTAAAAACAGTGGTGGAGATGGATTATCGTGAGAGCATGAGAATGTTATAGCACCCGCGTTGATATAAAAACTAAGTATGGTTTAAGACCTAATTTACTAAACTTTGATTTAAGCTCACGATTTTCACACATTATTTGATTTTAAATTCGGGACTTAATCACGTACAAAACATATTTTAATTACCTCGACGTTTCGGACGTGTTGCAACCATGGTCTCGAAGGGGCTGAAGAGGCGGGTGTCAGCATTTGTGCATTACGGTTGTCACTAGAGCGACATACAACTAGAGTCATAAAGATTAAGTGCGGGTAGTTAGAGAAACTCGCACGGCTAGAAGATGCCGACACCCGCCTCTTCAGTCCCTTCGAGACTACGTACGTTGCAATACGTCCGGAACGTCGAGATAATTAAAATATGTTTTATACGTGATTAAGTCCCGAATTAAAAATCAAATAATAACATACTAAAGCCGATTTTCATCGCGAAAACGTCCTTCCTAGGTAGGAGCAAAGGTGAAAAACTTGAAAGTGGATGATCGTGTAGCCATCGAGCCGACACAACCTTGTCGATGCTGTGAGTGGTGCAAGCAAGGACGGTATAACCTGTGCATTGAGCCTGGTTATTGCTCTTCACAAGGCGCTTCTGGTAACTTGTGTCGCTACTATAAACATGTTAGCGATTTTTGCCACAAGTGAGTATTTTAATTTACAAGTCTAATCTAACTTATAATTTAAAAGGACAGACTTTTGAGTTGCACTTACAATAAGCCATAGAAATTGTAATAGCCAACACGGATCATAAACGTAGGAAAGCAATAACATAGTAGGAAGGTACATAAACTACGCTAGGTTGTCTATACAGGGTATTTGTAAAAATACTAACAACATCGCGAGACCCTACTACTAACATCATAAACAACAACTTCTGTTCCATGACTGTTAATAAATAATCAGATTTTATTTTCATAATAAAATTAATAGATTTAAATAGATCGCTCTAAAGTCTAAACGGTAATAACTCTGTGCAGCGCGGTGGTGGGAGTCGCGGAGGACGCTTGCACGTTTGAACTTATTCTACCAAATACACATCTAAAAAGTGTCAGATAGTACTAGAACAAAAACTTAAAAGTTTATTTTTGGCAAATTTATTAGTTTTGTAAAAAGTAATGGAACGAAAAATGCAAAGTTGTTGTTTGACCGGAGTGCTTGTATTGAAACCTGAGCAAGCGAAGGAAGCTACGACTGAACAAGTACAAAAATAGATTCCGGAGCGTAGCGAGGGTTTCAAGCCACGAGACGCAAAACAATTTTGCTGCCGAGCGAAAAACAGTTGAACTATAAAACATCAGTTTTTTTAATCAAAAGAAAAAGTTTATCTTCGGACACGTTCTGAATTTGCAACTCATCAATTTTTATTCTTGTTTGTACTTATAATTTTGTGTGATTAAGTGATTATTGAAATTATTTAAGTTCTTCGACGAATTAAAATAATTTAATGTACACAATTAGTTATCACTGCGAATTTAATGTCAACAATAATAAGAACAAAATATACCAACAGATTTATATTACATAAATAAGTAATGTACGACAAATCGCGTAGATGAACGGGTCATTTTTTTTTCTTCGAAAGAAGAAAGGGTGCCCCACAGGCCATTGTCAAGTTCGAATTACAAAACCTTTTCCACGTGCCTTTCCGAGCTAGTGAGGCATTGACTTACAAATAAATGGACGAAGGGTCTAATACAAAAACCACAAAAAAAATGTCCCAAGTCAACCTAAATATTTTATTTACAAATAATGTTAATCACTATGTATAGATAACAACACGTCTAACTTTCCACTTGAGATTTAAATCCAACTCTATGCTGCTTACGATACGTAGACAATCCAAGGTCATAAGTGTACATAGCGTAACTATTGTTCACTGTACGAGTATTATTTTATCCGACATCATTCTGGAAGAGATGACCATAAAGTCAAGAATTAAAACGTTTCGGCGACAGGATCCCAGAAAACCTAACAATGGAAGAAGGCGCAGCCGTGCAGCCACTTGCGATTGCGATACACGCGTGTAATCGCGCTGGAATCAAGATGGGCTCAAAACTGCTGATTCTCGGTGCGGGTCCCATTGGAGTCTTGTGCGCTATGGTCGCTAAGGCTATGGGAGTTACCAAGATACTTATGACTGGTGAGATAAACAATTTTACCCATCGACGGATTACACACTCTCGGGATAGAGTGTATTTACCACCTAGTATAAATACACTTTATTTTACCAACTTTATTTGTTGGTCATTTTCTGTTATTTTTATAAACAGCCATATTTATTTACAAATATTACGCGCCCCGAATTTTGTGAAAAAAAATAAAGAAAAAAAATACGAAAAAAAAAACAAAAAACAGATTTCATGAAAAAAAAAACTTAAACAGAACAGGTCCAAAAATTAAATTGGCGTAGTATTCATTGGAGGTATCCGTACGGTAATTCCACACAAACGTAGCAGCGCGGCTTATGTGTGCGCACCTTGAACGAACGCTCATATTCGCTTAACTTCGTTCTAGCAGTGCACTCGAATTGCATCCCGCGTGTCGTCACAGGCGCCACTTCGTGTTATCATTTTCACAAACTTGGTCCACTACTTGAACTAGTGAGAGCATAATTAGTGACGTAACACAAATTTATTAGCAGCAGAGCTCCTTGTGAAAGAGTTCGTCCAGAAAAGTACTGTTTCCTTACCTATGCCAAGCACTAATGTCAGCATTACCGTGCTCCGGTTTTGAAGGCAGAAAAAAATTATTACAGGCAGATGGGACTTGTCAACTTATGTCTCAGAGTGACAGGCGCAGTGACAGGGCGCCTCAGATCTTTGCGATTTAAAGCTCTGAGTGGCACTCCCACTGTTATGGACAGGCGTGTAGCTTATGGTAAGCAGGCGCACAATTTGTTCATCCCGTCACTTTATATTATAAAAATAAATGGTTAACATCTTATTATCAAATTATGTTGACAACCTGTAGGTACAAGTAAAATAATAATACAGTGACAACCCTACGCTCCAAGCGAAGTGTACCAGGCATTGATGCGCCGAACAGGCCCAGGAAGTAGAGCCCACTTGGTCTTAATATACTACGTTTAAATTCTGTCAGGGCTTACAGGTGCCTATCGCTGAATGTATCGCCGACGTTACAAGTGCTCAAACAAGTCTTCATTTATATTAAAATTGCAATTACAATTGTTCACGACGGGCAACGTTGTTTTCGTCTCTCTGGGCTCATGCTTAGGTTCCTTTTTCCTCGTAGTGAGCGCCTGGTCATTGGCTTGTATAGTTTATGAACTACGAACTATTAGGAATATATTCCCTACACTGACCGACATGAACTAGTTCGTCTTGCACGGTTTTAATAGTTCATCGTTCTTTTTAGTTCAGTACGAACTAGGAATAACGCTATGACTAACGCTAACTGAGTGACTGAATAGTCACAAAGCTGCCAATAATACATCATAGTTTTAACATTACAATAAGCTTACTTTAAGCGTGTTATGGTACGAAAAGTCAATGTAAGGTTAAAATAATATTGTTTTAAGAGGTTGTGGTAGGCCCCCTGTAAAATATGAAGGAAAATCAAATAGTACCGATTCCATACAAATTATATTTTAAAATATTTAGTACAGTGTAGTATTGACCTCATAATACTAGAAGTCCGTAGTAGTTCATGTGAATAAAATTACTAGTTTGGAGCGTTCGTTCAATGAGCAAGGACAAGACGAACTAACTCCTTAGATAGTTTGGTCAACTGAACTAGGTCGGTCTTCTAGTTCATCTAGTTCCTTAACTAGATGAACTAGAAGACCGACCTAGTTCAGTTGACCGATTGAACTAACTAGGATCGCTAAGGACCGATCAGGCACAAGTCTACTGGTCAGTCAGATTTAGTAGGCTATTGTGGCGTAGGTATTTTCGATTTTCTATCATTGATGTGATGTAAGTGTTACGTAGTAACTGTTAAGTAATCTGTAACTGTACATATCTGCGTAATTACGAGTCTAGCTAACTAGGAAAGTGCTAACACTTTCCTCATAAAAAGTTAAACTAAAATTGATATATTTTTCATATAATGCCTATATGTAACTCAGTATGCAGTTGAATAATTACAATTACAAGGAAATAATAATTGAAATTTATTCAAATGCAGATGTAGTAGAATCTCGGCTGAAGACAGCAAAAGGACTAGGTGCAGATTACACCCTGTTGACAAAAAAGGACGACGTTGAGCAAGAGATCCAAGATAAGATCGTCAACCTGTTGGGGTCGAAACCTGACGTCGCAATAGACGCCTGTGGTTACGGCTCGGTGCAAAGAATTGCCATGTTGGTGAGGGAAGGATTAATTTTAGGATATCCACAATCTACAACTGATTTGCTTACGTGTTTTGATTGCTCCATTTATCAATTCACATAAACTTACCTATTCCTGGTACTTTTGACTGGAGTTAGGTCGACCGTCCTCAAGTCGTCGGTGGTTCGTAGAAAGGGCGAAATCGCCATTTCGAAAATTTTCGGGGGAAAGACATTTACGTCCTGTTTTCAATTCAATTTTAAACTTAATTAAAACCAAAATTCAGTTTTAAAACAGTCGTTAAAACCTAAAACTCCCATGAAAAATTTTTCGAAATGGCATTTTCACCTTTTCTACAAAACACCGACGAAATATCATATATTGATAGACTTGAATAAGACAGACATTGATAAAGTCTTTCTCACTCAGTAAATACAGTGTTTCTTGGCCATAGGAAAAATAATAAGTGGTCAGTGGTAGGTACTTAAGAAAGCAAATATATTTTACAATGGAGACTTTTATTAAATCGCAAAAAATACAGTTGTTCGATACAAAATGTGTATACTTGACGAAAATTGTTTTGCACAACGATATTTTTTTACAATTTATCAGTTCCCAGAAGTAAAAGTGTGCTCATAAATACAAACCTCATTTAAACTTTGTCTCGCCGGCAAATGTGACATTAATGTCCAATCCACTCGAGATGAGGAAACCATCATATTATTGTACTATTCACCTTAAATAGAATTTTTACAAGCATGGAGAAATTGCTCATCAGGTCACAAAAACTGGCGGCACAGTATTGGTGGTAGGGATCGCAGACAGCGTTGTGGAGGTACCGCTGTCTCAGGCGCTTCTGCGCGAAGTCGACATCAAGGGATCGTTTAGAATCGTGCGCACGTAAGTATAGTGGTACAACTTTCATACAAACAATCTAATAATTTCTAAACTAATGTCATTCATTATAACTACACTTGCTATATGAAAAGTAGACTTTAGGTACTTTTTTAGGGAATATTGCTTTCTTGAAAGTGTGTCACGTTTTTCTAAATCCAAGGTGGCGCGGCGGGCGAGTACTGCTTTGCGGCCGGGCCACCTACGTGGTTAAATATTTCGTAATATATCGAGGTACTATTAATTTAGTTGTATGTCTAGGAAAGTACACTTTAGGTACCTATTATTTTGTACTACTGACACAGAGGATCAAGCACCATATTAAGGAATATTTAGGGCCACTTCACACGAATTATTATTATATAATATGGAATACTTCGGGCAGATACGAACCAGCGCTAGAGGCGGTGTCGAGCGGGGCCATCGACTTGAAGAAGTTTATAACGCATCATTTCGACATTGGTCAAGTCAAAGAAGCCTTGCAACTCGCCAAGACCGGCGAAGCTATGAAGATTATCATACATTTAAACACATAATTTGAGTCCTTTCATTCTTTTAAAGACGTTATATATGTATACATTACTATTATAATAATAAGTATGAGTAAGCCGAAAAATTTCCGAGTAACTGCTTAGAATGTGATATCTATTACTTTTTTATGTTTCTGTCTCATGGTTTTGAATTCTACGGATGGGACGTCCTGTAGCAAGATGGGTGGACGACATTGTCAAAGTTGCAGGCAGTAAATGGGTGAGATTAGCACAGGATCGTGGTGGATGGCACAAACTACGGGAGGCCTATACCTAGCAGTGGGTGAAGTCGGGCTGTGGATGATGATGACACATTCTATCATGCGATTAGTCATATAGTATAACATATCATATAGCATCAAAAGATACTGTTAGAGAATACAAAAGTTCATTTATTTACAAATTAATAATAAATAACAAATAACTTAAAACAGAAATGTAAGTACGATGTTGCTTAAATAAAATTATCAAATATTCAATGAGGTTTTGCAGTTTTTATACAAAAATAAGAAGTAATTCCAGGTGATAATATACTGTTCAAGTTACGCTAAAAAGTGATAGACATTAAAAATAAACAATTTTTTTTTAACAAAATGTCGTTTCTCATGTGAAAATGTATTTCTAAATAACACTTTAGGCTGATTCTATAGGTTATTTTGTCATCAATCATACAAAAATATCATAAATATCACTTAGTTTCTAGAAGCCCGGTACATGGAGTCTTTATTTTCTACAATGTTTTTATTTATTTACCAATATGTAGTTTGGTTATACACGGTTATAACTGTATTTAAGTATTCAACGTTATTCAATAGTATTCAAGCTAGATGCAATTTTTTTAACTAATGTTACCTTGTATTGTAATTCGGATTAATGTAATATCATCCTGTAGCAGTTTTCCTCAATGAACTCACAGTGTTATCAATCCATATCCTGGAACCCAGAGTCAAGTTCGCTATTTAAAAATAATTCACAACAGGTTCAGTTTAGAAGGGTTGAACACTCCGGGTCGCGTGTTCAATACGGCCGTGTTCGCGCGGGGAACAGGCATGCTGCCCAGTTTGTTGCCACCTACAAAAATCATTTATACACGGTGAAAATGAATTCAATGGCCAAACTTTAAAGCTTAACCAAACTCTTAAACAAAATGATGTAAAAAAGATTTTAAAAATCAGCTGTTCCTTAAAATACGATCATATTTACGCGATCAAAATGATGTTTTAGGAACTTATTATTTTTAACCGTCTTTAAAAAAGGGGAAGAGGTTCTCAATGTGACTTTTTTTGTATGTATGTTACGCGATAACTCCGGTGATCTGTGAACCGATTTTGACGATTCTTTTGTTGTCGGAAAGAGAATACCTCATTAGTTCCATTAGTCAGTAGTACCTCAGAGTGGTCCCATTTAAATTGGAAGAAAATATTCCACCTCTAGGTGACTAATTTCAATAAAACTTTGCAAATAGATGTAATTCCACGAACGTATGAGGTTAATTTTTTTAGTAGTCTGTATTGAGATTGCATTTGAACAAATCGAGCAATCATTGGACCAGTCAACGTGTTCAGCTTATCAGTAGGTTAGATGCCTGATCGAATCTTTAATCTTCTTTAGTAATATAAACATAATTTTGTTAATAACAAATCGCATTAATAAGTTGACGGAAAAGGTAGTGTTTTCAAACAAAATAAATCATATTTCAGTTATTAGTGTTCGACGGATGAAGTTGTAACTCACCAGTATTGCCCCGCGTGGTGCTTCCTCTGCCAGCACTGGAGCCAGCGCCTCTAGCGAAAGTGGCGCCTCTGCCTCTTGCCGTGTAGGCGCCTCGTGCTGCGGCCTTTTTAGCTTTTGAAGGCGATTTGCGCTTGAATTTTCTACAAATAATCATAATATTGGATTTGTTTACTTACCAAACAAAAATGAAAATGTCTGCCTTACCTAAGTCGACTGGACTATCTTTTGTTTATTAACGATAAAGTAAAATTATCCCATTTCTCGGAGGCTCAACGGCTTGTACTGTGGGCGCTGGATAGGGTTCGATTCCCGGTATGAATAATAAGAGAAATGAACTTGTCTAAAAAGGGTCTGCTCTGGTATTCATACTACAGGGAATTTTAAATTTTAATTTAAAAAAAGGAAAAATGAACAACAGTGCTGCGCCCTACGCATTGAAGTTTTGGTTCCACGATAAAATCCATCGACTGGTTATATTAATTGGTTCACGGTATAATAATAGAATCGGCTGCTTCAGTTATACAGTAATGTTAAGTGAATAAAATAAATATACGTGAATTCCTATTAATTATACATATTTTTTTTTATAACATCAAGTGACGGAACGATCATTCGAACGATCATCGGACGAATTATATTTATATTTAAAAGAAGGAGACCAATCTCGACGCTACCCCTCACGAT